GATGTGGTTAATTCCTTTTTTTAAATACATTCATTAAACAGTAATAAAATTGGCTCTTCTAAAATATACCAGAATTGTTGGTAAAATTCACATGAAAGTCCATCAGGCCCTGGACTCTTGCCTTTTTTTAAATGTCGGATAGCTAATTGCAATTCTGTTCTCTTAAGATCAGAATTGCATATGTTTTTAAAGTCATTATTTATTACAGGAATATAATTTTCTACATTGCTAGTAAACGAGTTACCTACATCCAAATTTAGATCTGATTGGTACAGTTTTTCATAAAAAGAGCTAACATAGTCTGAAATTATTTTAGGGTCCTCACATAATATATTATTAATGCCCAATGCAAATAAAGATTTTCTTTTAAAATTTATTTTTTCAAGGGCAAAAAAATAAGCTGTATTTCTCTCTCCCTTTTCTATCCATTTAGCTCTTGAGCGTACAAAAGCCCCATTCCCCTTTTTAGTATATAGATCATCAAGCTTTGTTTGTAAAGAAAGTAGTTCACTTTCCTGAGTCGGGGAAAGAGCCTGTGCTTTCCAAAGATTATCAATTTTGTCCAACAATTCTGATTTCATGGTCTTTGGCCTCTTTTATTTCCTTATGTCTTTTGATAGCTAAATGTCTGGATTTAAATTTAAATAGTTCCCATTTAGAGACAAAGCTTCCCATCTCTGAATTAAATATATCAGTGGCAAGAGCCTCGATATTTCTTATAAAAATATTATCTTCTAAAAGAGTGTTGTTAAGTTTCCAGTAGCCACGAAGGCTATCAAAGTTACGAGCTGTCTGTAGAGACATATTAATCATAAGGTGATCTGTAAAAGGGACATATTGATGAGAGATGTCCTGAATATATTGTGATAAATCAGATGAAATGAGAAACAAATCAATTCTTGATTTTAAGGTTTTGGAAGCATTACTCTATGTATGCTTATGTACATTGCTATTGAAGTAACGCCATGAGTCTTCTAAAAATAGTTTTTTACATAATGCATCGATAATATTACCACTTTGAAAGCAATGTTGTGTTTTCGGTGGAAATCTATCCATAAAATTATCAGGAACTTCATTAAAATCACCAGCAATTATTAACTTGGCATTTGGAATTGTTCTAAGCATATTCTCTAATATACCAGAAATATTAATAAAAAAGAACTATTCGCATTATGACAATTAAATCCATAAATATTGCAGATGATGAATATGTTTTTTTTTCTGACTTAACAGTCAGTATAACCCATCTACCATTAGTAGAAGATTTGGAATTAATAATATCTCCTTTATACTTTATATAAACCCCAGCAGATTTATTTGATCCATGACTAAAGAATATCCAATCACCCCATTGGGCTTTCCAAAATTTTTTATCATCATCTGAAGAATGTGTCTCTTGTAAAAAATAAAATAAAACCGGCATTATAACGTCTACAAAACAGAAATATACCTTTTCGTTTGGTAATGTCTCTTAAGCCCCGCACATTTAAAGAGATAACTTTTAGAGAATTAAATTTGTCCATAAGTTATGCAATAAATAAATAAACAACACAAATAAAATAACGATAATAATAAACTAGATAGCTATAGGAAGCTAAGAGAATGAAAACTCAAAATACGTTTACAACTTAGCTAGGAACTGCTATAATTGCTTGGTACAAGAATTAACTGAACGTCAAAAGGGTCGATTAGCCCTTGTAATAACATTTTAAACCTGGCACGTATATGCTTAAACATTCGAACCTGCAGTGCAATTAGAACGGAGTGTCATTTCAAGCAGACTGTAGCTTAGTCGCTGGATAAGCCGTGATTCTCTTGTTGTTAATGACAGCAAAGGGACCGCTAAAGCCGGCTTTCTTCCCTTCTTTTCGGGCAGCCTGGACAAGAGGCCAGAGTTTATTCCGACTTTCAATGTCAGCTTTGGAGAGGAATTCTTTGATGTGTAGGCCATTTTTTCTAAGGTATATGGAGCTTTTGGCTTCCATCCAAATTATGTCACGGTGTCTCCTTGTCGCAAACCGTATAATCACGTGACGCGATGAACCATCCGATTGTTGTTTGCCTACACGATGAACCACATCCACAGCATCCTCCAATTTGTCCTTGATCAGCGGGACCACCCTCGCCAAAAGTCCAATAGCCGTCATTCTAATATTTTCCTCTTCGCTTTCTTTCACCCCGAGTAATTTCAAACACCATCTTCGACTATATCTTTCCAGGTCATCAACTCTTAGCTTGAGAGAAGTACTTTCCTGTTGCATGTGATGTATTGATGACTCAGCCTTGCGGATCTTTTCACCGTAAGAGGCAACATCTGACAAAAGTCGGTTAACAGTGTCAGATAAAGAGTTCACCGCAGCCGTAGTGATTTCAATGGAACTCTCAATCTGAGTAACTTTTTGAATAACCGAATCTTGCTTTGAATTCAAGGACTGGATGGCGTTGAAGATCTCAGCAAGGGACACATCATCACTCTCTTTTTTCTTCTTTCCCAGTGGACTTTTGCTGGGAGTTACAAACAAAGGATCGTTAAAGTTCTTATCGTAATCATGTGCAACAAGTTAAGAGTCTAGGTGTTCGGATTCATCCATGTTTTTGTCCAATGAATCATTCGACAGGCATCCTTCCAGATTCCACGAAGTATCCAGGTTCCTTTTAGTATGTTTCTTACCCATTAAATATTTAAAGGTGGATTCAAATCAGCCTCTGCAGTTGAGTTAATAACATTACACAGTCCATCAAATAGACATAATTTGACCCTTTATCTGATTTTTTTTCTAGCGAGGTGCATTCGCATCTGCTTACCGCGACGCCATCTTGGCCCCCCCAAGAAATTATTTGTTTATGATCACTTTTAATTCCTTTCACACATTTAAGTTAATTTTATAAAAAGTCATAGTGTACACAACAATCTCTGGGCTTGCAGCATAACAAATACCAAAATTTTAACAATTTATAAAATCATTGGATCGGATATTAGGCATGGACATATATTGCATAGTGATTTTCGAAAGTTCCCAGCAAGTGTAAGGTGTAGGCCAGATCTGGGTCAGAATAAAAGCAAACTGTGGCCCAGAATAGGGTCAGTTCTGGTTCATTTGGTTAAATTCTGGCTGATATGTGATATTGCATTGGCTTATCTTATTTGTGGCCCAGATCCGACTAACAGAAGCGGACCGCCCTAGAGCCATCATTCCAGTAAATTGCTTTGTAAACATTTATAATTACCATTTCATGAGTCTCCCCATAGAGTTGAATAGAGCGCTTTTACCCGGAAGCCGCTTCGTTTGACGTCACACTTAACAAGCGGCTTGTATCGTAAGCTCCACCCTTGACCCTGGAACATTTAGAACTCTGCTATATCATATGGAAGGCCGTTGAGGCCACGGGTAATTGCATGTTAACGCGTAAATTACGTGTTAACACGTAACAACGTTACGGCCCCAAACGTTTTGGCCCCAAAAGCCTTTCATATTATCAAGACGTGCCAATGAAAATGCCCTTTACATAGCCATAGCCACTGCAAAGATATGAATGAAAACATCGCAGTAATATATGATTGTAAAAAACTTTTACACTTGCAAAACTGAAAACACATCACAGAAAATTAAGCATGGCTCGGCTCATTTGAGGATGTTGTGTTTGGCCTACCGCGTGTTTAGGACGTCCGTCAGTATTTACATGTAGTTTTGCTTCTTCTTTGTCATTCACAGCTTTTCGTCACCTTTATACACAGCTGGTTTCGAATCCACGTTGCTAAGTAAACACGATTACCATGCATAGCTTTACAAAGGTTTGTTTGTATAGGTTTGTTAGCAAATTCAGTAACACATTTCGATTGACATAGGTATTGTTGACAACATAGAAATGCCAACGGTGTCAGCTCACATGATTTTGCAGCAGTGGATATTAGCAGACAGTTCCAGACTGCAGAAACGGCTTAGTTGGGTGAGGATAGCAAAATTGCTGTAAATAGCCATCTGCACCCTACAGAACTATTGTTTTACTTCATGTATAGACAGGAGTCACGTACATGAAATAATGTTAATTGTGTTTTTGCCTGTAGGCTAGCGTATGGTGTAAAGTAAAATTACAAATCCGATTACTGTAATGTAGTGGATTTTTTCTCAGGAATGGTAATTTAGTAAATTGTTTTAAAAATGTGTACTTTCCCTTTTTTTTCCTTTTTTATTTTTAGTGCTATATTGGTAATTTTACTCCACTACTTTCTTTAAACCTGCAGACACTATTTTCTTTCTGGTCTAATGTTATGAATTGGCTAAAGTACAATAATCTGATTCTTGTCCAATCAAATTGCTCATAGAAACTAAATCGCATACTAAACAACCTCAAAATATGCTTTATAAATGCAGCAAACCGCTTGGAAGCATTAACAGTGTCCAAGAAGATGTCCAAAATCTTTACACGCACTGACCAAGACACTGTTTAGATGCAAATTTGATTTTTCAGTACTCTTTCCACCACTGCCTATGACTTTGACTATCAAAAGAGCACACAGCTAGCCACCTAAAAATGAAATTGTGATATTGATCCTTCATGTCACTTTAATTCCCTGAGACTTTTGTTTATCTTCGCAAATGAGATATTTCAGATGAAATCCAAGTTTAGCCACTAAAATGTTTGAAATGAAAATGTATTTTAAATCATTTTTGGGACTTGGTACCTCTTAGGACCATTGTAGTATATGGAGGGTTAGAGAGCTCTCTAATTTAATCTAAAATATCCTCATTTGTGTTAAGAGTGGGTAATTAATCATTTTCAGGTGAGCTGACCCTTCAAATTTTATGAATCATCAAAATACCAAAGTTTAAGCTAAATAAAATCTTCTTTGATGTGCTACTGGGGAAAAAAGTATCCTGTGTAATAAATGAAAAATAAATTTACAGCAATTTTGGGGTGGGGATGAACTATCCCTATATGCTACACTGTAAGAGTGCAAAACCTGCATAAATATTATAAAACAGTTTGTTGAAACGTTATCATTTTGATATTAATTTAATATTGTGTAGATGTGCAGTTTCAACTTCAAAACATTTGAACATTATAATTTAAAATGCAAGAATTATCAACAAACAAGCTTTGTGATCCTATAGCATTATGTTGTCATTCCACAGATTCGCTACTACTGTTTCCACTCATACACAGCCATAAAACAGAATTACCATTGCATTGAAAGTTCTTTAGCATTGAAAACTGTACATTCACGTTGATGTTTCACTTTAATTTTCTTGTGTTTCAGACTGTGGTTATTGGGGTTTCCCCTTTTTTCTTTTTAATTTCTTCAGTCAGCTGCATTGTCAGCTGATCTAAATAAACCTTTTCCTTTCCATCCCAGTCCTCTGACTGAAGGTGTTTGGACAGTGGATGTGATCTCAGAAGATGCGGATGTATTTTGATCTGGGGAAGACTGGCGATTAAGAAGCTCCTTAAACACAGAGTGCATCATGTGATGCACTTCCTGCAAAATATTAAATAAAAAATAAGAATGACAAAAACAAACTTTAAAACGAGAATAAATTGGTGTTGTAAATAGGATTCGATTTTTCCATACCTTATCCACATCTGTTGAGCATTCCTCCCTACTTCCTCCTTCAGTAGTGGATCGTCTCATTTGAGGACTGTTGAAGTTACGATTCAACAAATCTAGTCATTATTCAATAAACAATAATAAACTGTTAAAAATAGTCTAATTACTTACTCTAATGTTTTCCGCAGAGCACCTGGAGAATTTCCTGGCTGTATAAATTGTCCTGTGGGTAATTGCAAACAAATTTTTCCTGAGGTGACTTGACTAGGTCCGACCCCGGCTTTGTCAGTCGTGACCTTTAATCTGGAAAATGAATTAACAAAAAAAGGCAGAAATACTTTGGAGTTTATCTTGTTACTATTGGTCATCATTACGAAAGAAGGTTCATTTTTTAGAGTAGAATTCATTTCCTTTATTTATATAGGCTGTGTACACTTAACAGGCTAAATAGGATGCATTACTAAAACTTAAGAAAAACAGAGTACGAAGAAAAGTTTTTTTGTACATACGACAGTACACATGATGTCTTACCTTGTGCTTTTCTCAGCTTTCACTTCTTCCTCTGTCTGGTGTCTGCCACAGCTGGATTTCAGAGTTTCCTTCCCTTTCTGATCTTGGCCTCCATCCACACTGAACAACAATAAGAGAAGATTGAGGGGTGTTATGACTATCTGGACTGTAATTTGTAGCACTGATTCTGATTGTGGCTCGATGATATTTATGTTATTCCTAATGGTATTTTAGGTAAAATTATTAAGTAAAGTTTTGGTCAATTTATTTAATGCCCAAAACCTCTAACATTAGTTTATGGTGTTTTTTTAAATAACAAAAAAATTGCATTAGGGCAATGTTATTTTGCAACCTTAAAATAACAGTCTCAGAACTTTGCAAGGTGGTTATTTTAAAATAACCTGAATATAATCTATACAAGATGTTCCTTTGTGGTTATTTTTTTATTTTTAGGTAATGCTTTTGCAAATATAAAATAATGCTCCAAGAACCACAGAAGACATTCGTTTAAGCATATTTTTTTACATTTTAACATGGACATTTCCTGTACTAACTGCCATACTAACAATTGGTAGTGTTAGATGTTTATTGACGTACAGCAAGTAAAGGATACTGAAGTAAAGAGTTTTAAGGAACATTATTATAACTTTAGTATAATGTTAAAATAAAGTTCTTCTAGAGTTAAAAATAACTTTCTAAATGTTCTAGACAACATAAAAAAACTAACCTCGAAAGATAACCTGAAATAACTTTATTATGGGAATAAAAGAACATGTTATGCATGCAACTAAATTGTGGCTTCTAAAATCTTAAAACATTCATTTATTTTAATTTTGGCTTAGTCCCTTTTATTAATCAGGGGTCGCCACAATCGCCTACTTATCCAGCATATGTTTTAGGCAGCAGATGCCCTTCCAGCTGCAACCCATCACTGGGAAACATCCATATACACTTATTCACATACATACACTACGGACAATTTAGCCTACACAATTAACCCATACCGCATGTCTTTGGGCTTGTGGGGGAAACCGGAGTACCCGGAGCAAACCCACGTGAACACGGGGAGAATGTTAAAACAATATTTAAAAAATATATATATATTTTGGTGAAAAAAAGTATTTTTGGGTTGTATAAAGTTACATGCTAATGTGTATCATCCAAATTTAATTTAATTTAATTGATTTAATTTAATGGCAGCAATGTGCCTCAGTGGTTAGAAAAAAGGTGGAGGTGAATTGGATAAACTAAATTGGCCATAGTGTATGTTTGTGAATAAGAAAGTGTATGGGTGTTTCCCAACACTGGGGTTTCCATGTGTACTCAGTGCTGGGTTATGGCTGAAAGAGCATCCACAGAAAAAAAATTGCCATCGGCAAAAATTGGCGGTTCTCTCAGGGCAACCCCTGATAAAGCAAGGACTGAAAACTGTGGATTTTGTTGGATATTAAATACAACCTGAAGGCACAGATCATCAATATGATATCAGATTGACGTTGTACCCAAATGTCATGTCTAATGATGTTAAAGCTTGGCGTTTTGTGGATGTTCCCTCTATGACGTCTATCAGACATTGGATTTTGGTCAGTATTTGACATCAATATAATGTTAGTTTAAGATGTTGGCTCAACGTTGGATTTTGGTCACTGTACAATACAACCTAAAATAAACCATATACCAACATAATCTCACATTGTTATTGGACGTGAAAAATATCATTGTCCCTAGATGCTGGTGACCTAAATCTAACCTAATATTAATGTCTTATGATGTTGGGTGTCTGCTGGGACATTATAATTATAATGGCTCAAATTAAATATAGTTATTTTTATCTGCCAATATACTATAATGATACAGCTAAATGTGGCTTTACATTTAATTTGTGTCACAATTACAACAAAAGAGAGATTTATTTACATATCTGACAGAGCATTCTAGTCCAAGAGATGAGAACCTACCTCTGCACACTGATATATTTATTTGGGATGAGACCCTTTGACCCATTCACTTCGCCTTTCCACCAATCAGAGGAGGCTTTGCTGTATACAATGAAGCGATCGCCGTGTTTGAAGGACAGCTCAGTTGAAGAACGGCCTATGTAGTCAAACAGGGCCAGTGCCTGCAGCTCTGCACATCCAGAAACAGACCAAAAGTAATTAGTTTAGTTCTACTAGTCTGAATGCTGATAAGTAAACCATGTCAAGCTTACCGTCTTTTGGTTCTTTTATTTGAACCTGCTCTGATTCTCCATCTCCTTCCTCTGCTACAGCTTCACTATAGACATAAGAAATAATAAGTTGAATGTAAATATTTTTCTCAGTGCACGACTGATTTAAAGCAGCTTTACAGGGAAATCATAATGTTAATGTTTATAATGTTTTTGAATTTAGCAGATTAGCTGTCAATAATGTGTGGCCCTGGACCACAAAACCAGACACAAGAGTTATTTTTATTCATTAATAAAACACATGAAAGCTGAACAAATAAGCTTTTAATTGATGTGTTGTTTGTTAGTCTACAATATTTGTTTGAGATAAAACTATTTGAAAATCTGGAATCTGAGGGTTCAAGTTAAATGTTTAATATTATTTTAGTTTTAATAAATTTACAGATTGAAATTTGCCTTCATGTAACATTTTCTGTACTTAAGATTCTATTAAAAGAAAAATAATCATTTTTACCCATACAATGTAATCTTGTCTACTGACAAAAATATACTCGAGCAACAAAACTGATTTTTTTTATTTTTTATTTTATGATTTTGTGGTCACATATAACTTTAATTTTCATATATTAATGCACATGGTTTGATAATGTTAACACTCTAACAACTGAGGCTATCTATTTACAGTATCGTATTTTAATTTCAGGACATCCTGTCTGGCTCAGTTTTGTAATAGAGTGTCCAATGTTAGATTTCCTTTATGTGGAAGCTTTCTTAAAACTTAATAGCCAACACATAACATTCCACGTGTGTAGTGCTTGTTTGTGTATTTGCTTCAAGTCAGTTGTTTCTTATAAAATGACACTTTGCATGATGTAAAGTTTCCACTTATTTTGTTTGCTAAAGTACCACCTAGCATTAACGTCCAGAACTGCATACCTTTTGTATTTGTGGATAATATATAGTATACCAGTATACAGTATATAGTGTACAATATTTAAATGATGAATGGCAATAAACAGATTTTGAAAAAGCCTAAATCCTGTTTAATTTACACTTTTGCCATAATTGACTGATTCGAGGGAAGGTGGAAAGTGGAACATTTAATAAAATGATTCCAGTGATGCTCCAGGGACAGACGAGTCTTCACTGAGGCCAGCTTCCAGCCTCCACCGCTGAGACTGCAGCTCTGCACAAGACTTTTGGTCAGTGGAGAAATTAAATTGGTTGTGCCGAACTGAGTCTGGTTCTCTCGAGGTTTTTTTTTTTCTTCACTCTCCTATCGGTGAAGTTTTTTTCCCTCTCCGCTGTCGCCACTAGCTTGCATGGTTCAGGATCTGTAAAGCTACGCATCAATGAATTTGCTCTTCAGTGTTTGGACTCTCAGTAATGATTTCAAACCACACTGAACTGAGCTGAACTAAACTGAACTTAAACACTAAAAACTGAACTACCCTAATCCAGTTACTATGACCATTTATGTGAAGCTGCTTTGACACAATCTACATTGTAAAAGCACTATACAAATAAAGCTGAATTGAATTGAATTGAATAAAACCTATGGAAAATGCAATATACATTGTTTTATATACAATTATATTGTATTTATATTACATTATATTAATCTACCTTGGAATATAAAGCATGATAATTTAGTTTAACTTTTGCAAGAATCAAGCAATTGGCATTTGCTGTACATTATATATTGCATTACATATAGTTAGTATAGAATCCAGCTATTGGAAAAGGTTATGGCATCCTATAAAATTTCAGTTTTTCCATATCAAATATCCTTAGATGAAAAAACAACTTATAGCATTAACCTAAATAATGCACTGCTAATAAAATACTTGAAAAGATCATCAACAGTTTTAGTAGTTTGTTGAGGGCATCTTCAGGTGTGTGTTAATGCTGTTAAGTTTTATTCAAGCTTGGTCAAAATTGGGTCATGCAAAAAGAAAACGATTTTAAGCACAGCAGAAAAAAATCTACAATAGATCAGCAAAAAAGAAAACATAGATCAAGACAATACTCCAGTCAAAGTCCAGAGCTCATCTTGACTGAGATGCTGTGGTGAGAGCTGTAAAAAAAACTGCTAAACTTCTCCAGAATGATCTGAGAGATTAGTAAAGAAAATTACAGCTTTGAGTAATTACTGCTAAAAATGCAAACTAGCATCTGAATCATACGGTGCCCTACGTTTGTTACCTATAGCTTTACTATACTGGTTTTATTTTTGTTAAATAAATAATAACATGGTGGAAGTCATATTATTATGTTCATCTGAGGATTTATCCTCAAGTTTTAAGACCATATAGTTCTTTTATAGTGTCCTGACATAGGAAAACCTAAAAATCTAAAACTTTTTCCACATGACTGTATACTATGTATGTGTGTTAGTGTGAATGAGCATATGCCAATCCATACTAGAGAACTGAAGCTTAATTCTCACCAGTCGTCTTCTTCAAGTGTCATGCACTTTTCATACACTGGCCCAGGTAATTCATTCTGGCTTGGGAAGATGCTCTCGTGTTGGATGATAATGCTCTTGACCAGGGCATTGATTCGCTGAAGCTCTGCCGCATCACCATTGTTTGGTCCTCTCACCAGACTGGGCCCAAAGCACACAGCCAGGTTATAGGGCTGCATCATGTTCTCGTCACTGTACTGGGAGACACTTTACACACATACACACATACAAATTCAGATTTTGTGACTGGAAAATGGGGTAAAACCCAATATCACACTGTGATACTCACTGGTGAAGGAATGCAAAGAGATATCTCATGACAATGATGAGTGATGGAGGATATGAGGAAACGATGAGCTTCAGCTGTGTTACTTTTTTAGTTTCATCATCTATTTCTGAAATGTAGAGAAATTGAGAAATTAAGATTTTTTTCTAAAGCAATAATATAAAAAAGTCACTTTAGCTTATTCGGCTTAGTCCCTTTATTGATCAGGGGTTGCCACAGTGGAATGAACCGCCAACTTATCCAGCATATATTTTATGCAGCTGATGCCCTTCCAGCTGCAACCCTTTACTGGGAAATATCCATACACACTTAATCACACACATACACTATGGCCATTTAGCTTACATAATCCACCTATACCACATGTCTTTAGACTTGTGGGGGAAACTGGAGCACCCGGAAGAAACCCAGGCAAACATGGGGAGAACATGCAAACGCCAACTGACTTGAACATGTGACCTTTTAGCTGTGCGGCGAACATGCTACCCACTGCACCACAATACACTATATACAATATAACTCATTAAAAAAGTAAATGTAGCTTTAAAAAAAATTATATTTGGGACAATATAATATGCAGTTGAAGTCTGAATTATAAGCCCCTTTGAATTATTAGCCCCTTGTTTATTTTTCTCCCCAATTTCTGCCTGACAGGAAGTTTTCCAACACATTTCTAAACAAAATAGTTTTAATGACAAATTTTGTAATAACTGATATATTTTATCTTTGCCATGATGACAGTAAGTAACATTTTACTAGATATTTTTTAAGACACTTCTATACAGCTTAAAGTGATATTTAAAGGCTTAACTGGGTTAATTAAGGTTAACTAGGCAGGTTAGGGTAATTAGGAAAGTTATTGTAAAATGATGGTTTATTCTGTAGATAATTGAAAAAAAAAATAGCTTAAAGGGGCTAATAATATTGACCTTAAAATGTTTAAAACAAAATAAAAATAAAAAAATACTTTTGTTCTAGCCGAAATAAAACAAATAAGACTTTCTCCAGAAGAAATAATATTTTCAGATATACTGTGAAAATTTCCTTGCTCTGTTTAACATCATTTAGGAAAATTAAAAAAAAAGACAAAAATAAAATAAAATCAAAAGGAGGCTAATAATTCTGACTTCAACTGTATTTTAGTTAATAAAATTTCTTTTTATTTATTGATTTTGTATATTATTTAAGTTTTTTATTTATTTAGCCATATTGAAAACAAAGGGTCATGTTCTCTATAAGTAAAAATATTTACCATTTAGTATTTTATTATTGTTTATTAAGCAGCTCTAAAGTCTCTAATGTCATTAAGACTGCAATAATGCAAAAATTCTGTAAAAACTAAATTTTAAAATATAATTGCAATTTCAATCATTGTTTTATGAGATTTAGAAATGTGATTTATTGCAGTTATGGCAAAATCAAATTTTACATTTTAATTTAATTTTCTGTGCTACATGATCTAAATATCATTTTCAAAAGCTGATTTGCAGCTAAAAGAACTATTCTGATTTATTAGCAGCAGCAGCAGTTGAAGTAGTACTATTATTATCATCAATGTTGAAAACGGTCGAATCACCCACCACTCTGTCTTCACTACTACTCGACCCAATAACCACCCTTACTTTTTTGGGCGATAATAACAGTATATATCAGTATATTTTAGGAGTCGGGACAAAAAAAAATCTCACTCCAAGGTGAAACCAAAAGTTGGCAGTCCTGTATTTGTCCAAATGCATTTGAAGCAGAAACCTTTTGGAACATTATGAAATACCTATACTGTCCTTTTTGATTCATGAATACATCGATTTTATGAATAAACGTAATATTTTCAGTCATGCACTATTGAGCAAAATAATGTTGTTGGGAGTTCTAAGCCAGCATTTAATCCCATATTAGCATGATGAAGTCCTCTTACGTCCACATTCCATCAGCTGGTCATAACTGTCCTCGGGAAAGAGGGGTTTCTCTAGGCCTCGAAAATAAAGCTTCAGCACTCCAGCCACAGAGTCCATGTCACACCGTTCATCAGTAAGAGGATCATCACCTACAGAAAAAAATAAAGTGAGTGTGTATATACTGTATAAGCTTCAGTTTTTAACATTGAAGGTATGAGGTAGGATGTAGCGCAAGTAGCTAAGTTATAATATAACTCTTATATAAATGAAATAGAATAAGGAAATAAGAAAACAAATACTATGGAAGTCAATGGCTACCATACTTTGTATGTTACACCTTCAAAGTATCTTCTTTTGTCAGTTGACGTAACTTTCAATTTTGTGTGAACTACCCCTTAAAATCCTTTACTCATTTAATTCCTTAAAATAAAAAGGAATTTCTAACTATTAAAGACCATTAATTCTGCCCAATGGTCCATAGCATTACTAATGTTTAAAGAAAAGGAGGAGAATATCATCATTCAAATGCTTATCACCTTTCTCAAATGCATCCTTCAGCTGATTCACCACCATCTGAGATCCAGGCACTCTGAACAACCCTTCATGATGTAAACCTTACAAGGGAAAACAGAGTAAATGTGATTCACTGGTGATTAAGATGGAAAGAATGGCAGAAAACTCCTTGTGTGACTTCTGTTTACCATTGAGGTTGATGAAGCGAATGCAGCTCTCCACCACGGCAGGAATGAGTTGTCCTGATGCCTAAATGGGAAGAAACACTGAGTGACTGAGTCATTTGAAGCGTTCTGAGTAAATCCAGAACATTTCTTGAACACAGAGAGAGACTTACTTGAATGTATGAAAGCAGATCCCCATTAAAGAGCTTCTGGTTGATCTGTGAACCAGGGTTACTCTTTTTATGACGCACAGATCTTTTGGAGCGCGTCCTGAATTTATAGAAATGTTTAATTATAGTTTTTTTTGTAGTAAGTATAATGTTTAAAATAGGCTTGTTTGCTTTTACCACCTCATTAAAATGCTGTCATATTTATTTTATATAACTGATTTACAGTTAAAGTCAGAATTATTAGCCCTCCAGTTAAATTGTGATTCTTTAATATTTTGTCCACAACTTCTGTTTAACGGAGAATTTTTTTTCAACACAATTTAAAACATAAATGTTTAATTACTCATTTCCAATAACTGATTTATTTTTTCCTTGGTATAGTGACAATATACAGTGCTCAGCATATACGAGTACACACCCCACAAATCTTTCATTTAAATAAAAAGTTTTATATAGGATGCTTTACAATATTATATTTATGCATATACATTAGATTAGTCAGTACTAAAGCCAAATCCTACCAAAATCACTTACAGTAATAGTTCAAGTATCCCAAAAGTATATGTTAGGGAAAAAATATTAAATACAAATTTTCAAAGTAGCAAAAATCACGGGAAACAAAATATATATATGATTTGGTCATATATATTTATCTGTAGTTTGTAATTTTTTTTGCAACATTTTACATGAATTTAAATGTATTATTTTTCCATTCCAAAATATGTTCTGTGACTAAAATATTATTTTAATAAATATATCTGTTTAACAAATTTGTTTTGTTTAAATGCACCAATATATTACCTGTATTCACTGAGAAATGGATATAAAAATTTATTTTCAAAATGGGGTGTATTCAATATTGATGAGCACTGTATAATATTTTACTAGATATTTTTTTATTTAAGGTTAAAGTGCAATGTAAAGGCTTAACTAGGTTAATTTAGGGTAATTATAGGCAAGTCATTGTATAACAGTGGTTAGTTATCAAAAAATGCTAATAATATTGACCTTAAAATTAAAAAACTGCTTTTATTCTAGCTGAAATAAAGCAAATAAGAGGAAAAATTATTATAGAAATGACTGTGAAAAAATCCTTGCTCTGTTAAACATCATTTGGGAAACATTTGAAAGAGAAACAAATTTCAATTTTGACTGTATGTATTTTAAGACACTATCACTACTTAAAGAAATCCAGTTCTCTCACCTGGTATGGTTACCATCAAAACTTTCAGCTAATAAGAAAAAAAAGAATTGGTTTAGTTTGTTCTTGCTGGCATTCCTTTTCAATAAATTCTGTATAGATAAGAGACATACCTTTCTGAATTGCAACCTTTAGCAGGTCATGTTTAGCCTCCAATTTTGATCTTAAAGAGCTGTTGCATAGATGGTCTCTGACTTTCTGCAATATGAAATTTAAAATTATGAAATTTAATATCAAAATACAGTTATATTCAATATATATATATATATATATATATATAGAAATAAATATTTGACATTTTATTTAATTAATTAATTAATTCATTTTCCTTTGGCTTAGTCAAGGGGTATCTAAACTCGGTCCTGGAGGGCCGGTGTCCTGCAAATTCTAGCTCCAACTTGCTTTAACACACTTGCAAGGATGTTTCTAGAAAGCCTAGTAAGAGCTTGATTAGCTAGCCCAGGTGTGTCTGATTGGGGCTGGAACTAAACTTTGCAGGAAACCGGCCCTCCAGGATCGAGTTTGGACATGCCTGGCTTAGTCCCTTTATTTATCAGGTGTTGCCACCGTGGAATGAACCGCCAACTTATCCAGTATATGCTTTACGCAGAGTATGCCCTTCCAGCCACAACCCAGCACTGGGAAACATCCATAAACTCTTGCATTCACACACATACACTACGGCCAATTTAGTTTATTCAATTCACCTGTACTGCATGTCTTTGGACTGTAGGGAAAACCAGAGCACCCAGAGGTAACCCATGCGAACATGGAGAAAACACACAGAAACTGACCCAGCAGGAGCTCGAACCAGTGACCTTCTTGGTGTGAGGCGACAGTGCTAACCACTGAGCCACCATGCTACCCACATTTTATATAATTAAAATGTAATAATGATTGATTGATTGATTGATTGATTGATTGATTGATTGATTGATTGATTACCGTGAAGTACAAGCTCTCAGCATCCGGAAGGCTGGCTCTACGCTTCAGTGTGAAGTTCTTATTAGCAGACACATCGCTGTTCCCCTCTGGTGATGAAGGGCTGCTGGGAAAGTCAGGAGTGGATCCAAAAGCGATCTCAGCAAGACTCTCCAGAATGGAAGATTGAGCTGACTGAAGTAATTTGCCAGACTGCAAAATATTCAAATGTATATTTATATTTACACAAGTCAAAATGTAAAGAGTAAACAAAAATACAATTAATCAAATTCATCTGATTATTGTCTCATCTACACTGTGATAACTGTGACATTTTTGTCTGTATAGTGTAGAGATTGTGTAGTTTGTGTACCTCCTCAACCTCCAGAGTGACTGAAGAGAGTCTGGACTGCAGCTGCTGGACGCGAGTCACCAGCTCACTCATCATCTCACATTTTGCAGACACCTCAACCACCTGGAGGAGGACATGCATATTTTTGCACCACAGTTATTAGTCTAGGGTTTTTGCCAAATGGATTATTAGTCTTCCTGAATTTCAAACATGAGCATGATGCTAGCGATTACATGATTGTTGGTTTGATTCCCAGGGAAAGCAAAAACTGATTAAAAGTACATTAAATTGAATGTTATGCACTTTGGTTTAAATCATTTACTAAACGCATATATGTAAACAGTTATTATAGTTAAAGGGATAGTTTGCCCTAATTAAAAATGCTCTCACCAGTTACTCATATTTTCTTTCTTTTTGTTGAACACAAAACAATCCATAGTATGTTGACATCCATAGAATGAACAAAATATACTAAAGTATTTCAGTGGCTGCTTTTTCCAAAACTATTCAGTATATCTTCCCTTGTGTTCAATATAAAAATAAGCTTATACAGCTTTAGTAGAAGTGGAGGATGAGTAAACTACCCCTTTAACTAAAATTGCATCTAAAAATCACACAAAAAAATCTTTACCTTTTTTAACCAAAATAAAATGTATATAAAATGACTTATCTTTTAAATATAATTTTTTAACAAAATTTATAGTTTTTACTATTAATGGGGTATATGCACATAGACTTTTAATTTCAGTCACCCAGGCCCAAGGCTTTCGGTAAATTGTCATCCCATACAAAATCCCTGTGTATAAGATCTTATTTCTGTAAAAAGAAAAAAAAAAAAGAAAAAATCAGCCATCTTCACTGCCTGGCTAAGATACGAAATAAAGTGGTTCTCGGACCAAACAAGAAGCACTGCATATGATTATATTTTTTCCAAACCATTTCATTAAAATATAGAAAATTTATTTTGCCCCAGTATTTTCAATAGAGTTTCTGTGCTAACCCGTTGTTAATGAAGGCACCTGCGTTTTTTTTTTATCTCTTTTTACGCTTTAACAACCAAATGGATGCTTAAGTCTATTTAACTGATTATATTTGAATTACATTACAACATGGATGCTGTAAGAGGAACCTTATAAAATTGAAAATAGTCAGAAATCTTTCACCGGAAGTTCATCATTGGCCGAAAAACACTAGTTGTGCATATAGCCTATTGAACGGAATGCACTTTAGTTAAAATCATCTACTAAATGCGTATGTGTTGACTGTTATTATAGTTAAAGGAATAGTTTGCTTAAGAATTCAAAATGTCCTCACCAGTTACTCACATTTTCTTTATTTTTGTTGAACACAAAACAAGATATACTGAAGAATGTTGGATCAAAGCAGTTGTTGACATACATAGAATGAACAAAGAAATTCAATGGAAATCATTGGCTGCTTTTTACAAAATCATTCATTATATCTTTCCTTGTGTTCAATATAGAAAGAAACTCAAACAGGTTTGGAACAAGTGGACGATGGGTAAATTTTCCCTTTAACTAAAATTACAATTATAACAACACAAAAAACTTTACCTTTTTAAACAAATTATTCAAATGTATAGACAATTACTTTTTTTATTTAATTTTCAAAACAACATTTCCAGATTTTACTGTACTGAATGTACTATCAATGTTGACATTTCCAACAATAAAAGTAAGAATAAATCACAATTTTTACAGTTTACACATAGGCTGTTTCTAAATTCCAAGAACGCTAAGAACACACTTGTGTTCTCATGGAAATAGGTCTTGACAAGTTTCCTCGGAAGAACGAACTTGTCAAATTTCAGCAAAAAAAAAAAAAAAAACAGCCTTAATCTGTTTATGCCTTTATTAAGATTTTCATGGTAATCAGGTAACACTCCTGAGACAGATAAGTTAGATCTATGAACTTTCATAATAAATCTATATAAAATGCTGTGCTTCCTACCTCTTTTATTCAGCCGCAAGTACTTCTGGCACTTCTCGAGCAAATTTTGTGCTCAAGTTTGCATCGATGCATCCTTAATATCAAGAACACATCCAGGAGTTTTTAATGGTCCTCTGTTCTTGCAGTCTTAAGTTTTGGAACTGAACTTTGGCAATCAATGATGACGTTACACGAGAACACAAGGCTGAAGAACGCATATTGAGAAACAGCCATTTTTTAGCCTTAAATGTTGAAATATACTACTTATTCTATGTACAAGGCATGTAAATACTAAGGATGTGATTAGCAGTTTGATGCCAAACATTAAGCTGTCATCATTTACCACTGCATTTGGTTTATGCTTCAAGCAAAAAAAAGTGGTAGTAATTCAAAGTTTTTTTTTTTTTTTTTTGAGCTGTAAAATGTACTCAAAAGTTAAAAGAAGTATTTAGAATGATGATAACATTGTTTGTAACACAGTGTGAAAACTGAGTGTGAAAAACCTCACACATACTAAAATAATACATTTTGCACTTTAATGTACACATTTTATTACACAGTACCTGGTCGCCTTCATAGGGATGGTATTGAAAACGGAGCGGCAGGCAAAAGGCTGAGTTGTTGAACTGCATGAGAGTGTCTCTGTCCTGGCTTTGGCTCAATTCGGACACCGTTGTTTCCAGCTGCCGCATCCCAGTACTCAAATTCTGTTGAGCCCACTGGCGACTGCTCAGGTAAAAATGCAACACCTTGGATATGGACTGATGGTAACCCAGATCACAGCACTGAGAGGGCATGCAATAAGAGGTTGAGTTACACCTTCTTAGTACACAAACACAATTTTACTACACAGAATTAAAAAAAATAAAATAAAACTCACATCTATGAGAGTGGAAAGATCCTGAAGGTAGTATTTGTTCATGCACGCATTTGCTGCCGCCAGGTTGAGCAGGTAATCATTCCGGGCTTTTGTGCACTTAAGCTGAATCTCTTGAACTTTACATTGCCTCTGTGCAAATATACAGTATAAGGGTGAAATGCGAAAACCTCAGAACTTACCGGAACAATCATTTATCCAAAACGCATTGAGTGAGTCACAACACATAACCACAATAACCAAACAATGATCTGCCAGTATTGCAAAGAACAGTTGGCCCACATCAAGACTGCACAAAGAAGCCCATGTGCATCCTGCATTGAATTGGTCCTACATGCTATACAAATTGGTGCAAGTAAGTCAAGATTGAGATTGAAGACTTACTGTCCCTGGGTGATGGCCGCATCAGGGTAAGAAAAGAGGTGGATGAAGTGATGCACCAATTATGCCTAGTGTCAACCATATAAGCCTTAGGATGGTGCAGTTGGTTAAGTCTATTTGAAGCAACATTACAGTTATGTGCCCAAAGAATGATTCCTGCTGACTACCTGAACATACTGAATGACCAGGATATTATATCAATGGATTTTTTCTTCCCTTTTCTTCATACAGGCATATTCTAGAAGGGCAATGCTAGAATTCATTAAGCTCACATCATGAAAAAGTGATCCAGGAAGACATAATTATACATATGGGTTGACCACCACAGATTTAGTTAAAAACAGAACTTGAATAATAACAGAAAAACTCAAATACAAAAGTACAATCTCTTTCCATAAATCATCTTCTTAAAATTTATGCCAAAGTGGATTAAACATTCCTGACTATGTACTTTTGTTTTCCAGCTCATGAATACAAACTTCCTATAGGTTGACTTAAACGCACCACATGAATAATAACTTTTTAAAATGCTTTACTGTAACTGTGCTTTTTTAAAAGGAAGATCTGGATATTCATTTTAGTAATCAACATTCCTCTTCAGCTGAGTTGTATTGAACAACCATTTTGATTTGATTTACAACCATTTCCTATTTTGCTAATAAAGCAAAACTATACATACTTTCTCTATTTGTCTTTCCATCTTTTTAGAAGCACTCTGTTTTTGCTTTTCCTCCAGTTTGACAGCCTCCTTCAGTTTGCCTTCTGCAGACAGGAACTCAGTATAATACTGGTAATATGTCTTCAAGGTCTGGTTTTCAACAAACATAGGAATACATTTGACATTAACTATAAACACAAGAATCATAATTCATACACAAAAAAAGTGTGACTTAATGACAAACTTAAACTCACTGTATGAAGCTCTATGGTGACCTTCAAAAGCCCATCCTGTAACAGGGTGCAGATTTCCCTGCTCTGAAAACATAAAAAAAAAAGAGAAAGTTTCCTTATTGGATCGAAAATCTGATCTTTTTAAGCTACAGTTTTGTTTCTCTGTGGATTTGTATTTATTATTTGTTGGAGGGAAGAGATTGTTTAATTCTCATGCTACACTTCTGTTTTTAATTTTTGTTTTTATTTTTTCAGCCAAAGCATTGCATTTTGTTATTATTATTATCATCATCTCAGAAGCATAGCAACCAGGGGGACGGGGGGACTTTTAGAGACAGGCCATTTAGAAACAGGGCCCAGTTTTTCAAAAATTTTATCTGGATCAAATTAGTCCAGATTTGGAAATCCCATGTTTTGCTATCCAGAATTAATTGATCTATCTTACTTTTATGACCGTTTTTAAAGGAACACTGGGTTGGATCACTGTGATCCAAATACCGAGAAAATACAGAGCCTAAAATGAAACCAAAAGTGTAGCCTTCTGGCTTAGCAAAGAACAACAGGTAGGCAAAATACCACTGGCCACAAACTGCCAAAGTTTATTTTAATGGTAAGAAACAAAAACACTGCAATCAACAAACATTTTACATTTTTTTGTTTGTTCTAATACAAAACAGCTTTGATATTGTTTTGTTGTTTTTGTTTAACATATCGCATTAGATGTGCCATGCTTCATATAGTGTGTTTTTTTTTTTTTTTTTTGATCAAATAGATCCCAATCTAAGTTCAAAGTTTTGAATAACCCAAAAGGCATGTTTGATCTAAATGAAATGTAAGATTGGATTACATGGTCTGATCTTGATTCAAAATCACTCGGTTACTTTTGAAAAACCCATTTCTAAGATTTGATTCAATCCATGATATAAAAACCCACTGGATTACTTTTGAAAAACTGGGCCCTGAGTGATTAATAATTACATGAACGCAAACATTCGGATCTCATACAGCTGTCCTCCTCACTTTTAAAATGTCTGCTTTCCCCTGGGTCATCTCCCCAGTTATCTTCTTTTAAAAAGTGGATGTTTCCAATATCTGCACTACTTCCACTTGACAAGCTACTTGCTGTACAATGGACATCAGAAGTCAAGTGACTTTTGACTGATATGGACACCTCTTTAGTACAATATTAACGACTTTCTTGATTCCTCCTTTTACTCTGTATACCCAGTCTACTGCTTGATATGATCAGATTCCCTGTATTTATGTATTTTTCCCTTCACTTTTTCTTTTTCACTCTTTTTATTGTTTTTGTTGTGCATCTGAGGCTAAATTTGTATGTTCATGAACATTAAAGAAACTGACAAAACAAAACAAATGAATCATGATTAAAGTTCAACGATTAATGAAACAAATGAAACAAACGCTATTGTATTTCTGTGCTCTGCCTGCAAAATGTCAGTGCAAAGGAAGCCACATGTAAGTGTGTGGGCATGCATTGCTCCTTCGAGTCTTGTAAAGTGTGGGTGTTTATGTCTGCAAATGTGGAAGGATGTGAAAACGCGCGCATGTGTGTATGTATGTGTGTGTGAGATGGTGGGTGTGTACCCGTTTGGCCAGGCGTTGGGCATGTTCAATGCAGTGTGAAAGCTGTTGAGGCAGAATGTTACTGTAGCTGTCACTCAAAATACTGTGATCTCGGCTCTCCTGACGTGTTTGTGCCAACAACACCTGCCAGCAGTTCACAACTGACTGATGACTGGACTCCTTCCTGATGGCAATAAGAACAAAGAGTTGAATTATCATGATCCTGGTATCCACAAAGACATCTATATATGCATATCAGTTTATGCACACTGCATATTATATAGAGTTAATAATTTTGATTCATTGTTTAATTTTGTAGGTGTGTGAAATATAAATATATTTTTATATACATACAATAAACAAACAACAGTCATGAATAAATACATTGGATCATATGTTAAAGTGAAACAAACAGTGCTTAATGGTTTTCTGGGGGTAGTCTAGTAGTATTCGAGTACAGCAACTTAATAAACAAATTTAAAATGACATTGCATCTTATCATATAAATAATTATAATAAAATTAATAATTTATTAACCTTCTTTATGCACTATTAAAATGCTTTAAACTCTTTTAACATAGTCACCAGTGCTAAAAATACATGCAGATAAGACACTAAATTACTAAATTACTATTAAATTCTGTTGTGACTTCACAAATCTTATGTGTTTTGACCTATGGTTTCTGGTCATCTATAACCCAAACTCCAATCCAAACATTGCATATGCTGCAATGTGACTACAGCAGATGTACACATTGCGATGTTGATGCTGAAACAATATATTGTGCAGCCCTAATATATATATTTAGGGTCAGATTTAAAGAAATAATAGTTAAAGAGTAAAAATACTACATTATATTATAATTTAAATGATGATAAATAATAGTTTGAAGGCAAGTGGAAGTATTAAGCATTAAGTAGCAAAATATAAATATTACAATTTCTAGATCAAATGATTCTACTATATATACATATCAAAACTATCGTCACACTAAACAATATACAGTGAGTCTTCTTTGATAAATGTAAGGATCATTATTTTTAAATTAACTGATCAGCTTTAACTAATCAAAGCTGTATTAAAATTCCATTGTTTAAAATGACAAACCCTTTTCATCTTTAACCCAATTAGACAATATGTTTTTGTGCAATTTTGCTTGAAAATGTGGCTGTAATTCTTTATTCATTCATTCATTCATTTTCTTGTCGGCTAAGTCCCTTTATTAATCCGGGGTCGCCACAGCGGAATGAACCGCCAACTTATCCAGCAAGTTTTTACGCAGCAGATGCCCTTCCAGCCGCAACCCATCTCTGGGAAATGTAATTCTTTATTTTACTTTAAAATAAATTGACATTCAAAGTTTTAACAGTGCACAAAACATACTGGCACCTCCGTCCCTTGAGAATTCATTCATAGGCTAAGATCAGTTTTTATGTATTACAGTTTTTCTCAGTGGTTATCTGGCTGGTATCTGAGTACAAGACACAGAATGTGCATGTTTCACATTTTTACTGCATTTGCTCTTTGCAATTCTAAATTATTCACAGCATTGTGCCAAAGAATAAATACACCCTTATTTACAACAAACATAAACTCCCATTGATAGAGCTGTGCACAACTGTACACGACATTGCAGTACATATTGTAACTAAACCTACAACACACACAGGTCAGTAAATCATTCATGAAATTGTTAACTTTTGAAGACATTTTCAGAAAAGAACTATTAATTTTTTTTATAAAATTTGCTTGAAAGATTTTGACAACTAGTTCAACATTTTTGTATGACTCAAGTAATAATATGAATACTTTTGTTTTATATGGAATGACTAGTCAGCATTCACAAGTTTAGTTAATTTTGAATGACATGACATAAGCATGATAATGTTAAAAACAGCAGAGAGTTGTATGAAAGCAATTGATGCATGTCCAAAGCATTTTCAATTTGTTGGAAGAAATGAGAAACTACTACTATGATGTGCACAAATGACTAATTGTTTTGAGAAATCATTAACTGTTGTGCAAATGTAAATAGTGTTGTGAGAAGTGCACCAAAGCGACTGTAAAAAACTGTAATGGTGATGTTTTCTTTGCATAGCCTTACTTTTTGGTTCTAGAGGAGAACTTGTCACACAGTTTGTCCAGTGAGCGAGCATATTCCCCCTCGATCTCGCCTCGCCTGCGCAAATAGTCGACCATATCCTGAAAGACCTGAGTCTTCTGCTCCACCTGACCGTCAAATATCCTCAACTGCTCCGCCAGCTGTAAACGCACCTCTAGAAAAGACACAGACAGCAGTACTGTAACTAAGCGTCCTCTCAGTTTGTCTGGTGTGAAATTGACATTTTGTTGTTAACTGCAGTTTCACAAAGCTAAATAAAGATAGACAGATATAGCAATTCTCTTTCCGTTTCTAAATGTTCGCTCAGTCTTGTGTGAAATTAGGAATTACAGTAACAAGTTTCAAGAGGTAAACAAAGATAGACAGACAGCAATTCTATCTATAAAGTTCCTCTCAGTCTGATATAAAAACTGTCTATCATCTACAAGATGCCAGCATGACACAGACAGACAGGCAGACAGACAGACAGACAGACAGACAGACAGACAGACAGACAGACAGACAGACAGACAGACAGACAGACAGACAGACAGACAGACAGACAGACAGATAGATAGATAGATAGATAGATAGATAGATAGATAGATAGATAGATAGATAGATAGATAGATAGAACAAGCAAACAGTCATTTTCTTTTCCAGGGTTACTTAGGTGTTAATATTTATGACGTTTTTTACCTTTAATCTGTGTGTCATAGTCTCCAGTCCCCACTCTGTCCCGCCTCAGTTTGACATGAGATGACATCGTCGCTCACACAAGCTGTAATTCGACTTTGAGCAGACAAAATGTAGAAACAATGATGAGAATTGAGATATATTTTAAGCTATATTTAAATATCTTTGGCAGTTTGTACATTTAAAGTATTGGTTCAGTCAAAAATATGTGGGTCAATTATTCCTTTAGTAGAACATTAAAGAATATTTTGTTTTAGCTGAAACCTTGGTCCTTGGTCAATTCAAGGGCATGTAATGTTGCTCATCAAGATTTTGCCTATCCTTGATGCTGTAATGATCTCTATATAAAAAGATTTTAGTCAGTTACACTTACACAATCTCCGTTGGGAGGACAGACTTTTAAAAGACTCCCAAGGCTTGATACTATACATGATCAACTGCACTGGTTTCCGGTTCAGTTGCACATAGATTTAAAGGTATTTATTTTAACCAATAAAGCAATATACATTCAAGACTGACTCCAGAGTATATCCCAAATTTGGTTTCAGAGTCTACACCATCTCATATCAGTCATGCTGTAAAAATGCTAAATTTTGGAAATCTTTGGCTGCTACAACTACGCATACTTCATCTCTTGACTGTTTTAACCCCTTCAGACCCAAATTATGTTCAAAGTTTCTGAAAAAAGTTTGTTTTCACAGTTCTTAAGGCAGGCGAGGCAGTGGCGCAATAGGTAGTGCTGTCGCCTCACAGCAAGAAGGTTGCTGGGTTGCTGGTTCGAACCTCGGCTCAGTTGGCGTTTCTGTGTGGAGTTTGCATGCTCTCCCTGCCTTCGCGTGGGTTTCCTCCGGGTGCTCCGGTTTCCCCCACAGTCCAAAGACATGCGGTTCAGGTGAATTGGGTAGGCTAAATTGTCCGTAGTTTGTCAATGTGTGTGTGGATGTTTCCCAGAGATTGGTTGCGACTGGAAGGGCATCTGCTGCGTAAAAACTTGCTGGATAAATTGGTTTGTTCCGCTGTGGCGACCCCGGATAAATAAAGGGACAAAGCCGACAAGAAAATGAATGAATGAATGAGTTCTTAAGGCACCTATAAATGAGACCAAATTATAACAATACAAATTCAACACGTGTTTAAGTGTATATATTTTTTGTCTGTTTCAATTAGACATCAGGTCAGAACAGTTGTACTTCCTGAACATTACACCAACATAAAATACAAAATAAAAAAAGCAAACATACATGATTGTTGGTTTAATCTTGAAATGCATTTTCAAAATCACAAACTTTAAGATTGTAACATTTTTACTTTAATTTTGAGGTTTTTGTTGTATAGCTTGCACCTTCTTTATAACAAACTTTATCTTCATCTTCTTCATCACTCCACAATATGTCCACATCTGAGATATTTCTATCAGCTATATGCTCAAGAACTTCAAGATCTGTATATTCTGCATATGAAAATGTTTATAATTTGTGTGTGTGTGTGTGTGTATATATATATATATATATATATATATATATATATATATATATTAGGGGTGTCAAAATTAGTTGTTTCTTCTGTGCACCGCGATGCAGACGCGGACAATTCGGTATCGGTTCAGTAATAACCATAACCGGTTATTATGTAGTGACGTCATTTATCTCCTATGCGCTCTGTCACGAGGGAGGTGAGCGCCGTTATTTACAACACTCAGCCAACTCAGGGCCGGCCCGTGGCATAGGCACCATAGGCAAATGCTTAGGGCGCTGTATATCCAGTGGGGCACCAGAAATGAGCGCGCTTCAGTTGGTTTTGTTTTCGATTTTCCTGACACACTTTCAGTTATAGACGGCAATAACTTAAAAAACGCTTACCCTAAAAAGATCTAAAGTGTGTTTCCTACAGAAAGACAAAGCTGGTTATGTTTCACAGCTGTCTTTCTTTTTTTCGCTCGACATTACGAGCACTGCTCCGTTTAAGCCCTCGCAGTCTACGTTTACTTTAGCCGGCAGAGCTTGCGCTGAGAGGAGCTCTCTTTAAGGGACCGTCGGAAAAGTGCTTATTTTTTTTTTGTTTTTCTGCTCCGCTCAGCGCGAGCTCTCCCTGTTGCAAGGGCTTAAGTGTGTTTGTTTGTGTGTGTGCGTTTGTTTGTTTGATGCTGTCTATGTTTGTGAATGTGTTTGAATGAGAGACAGTGTGTTGCTGTGTGTCTGTGTGTTTATACAGACAGCATGTTATAGCCTCCCCCCTAAAATATAACACTATATATGGAAAGCATCGTCAATGCACCGTGATGCACCGAGATATCGAATTGAACCGAATCGATGGCATGATAATCGTAACCGAACCGAACCGTGAGACCAGTATAGGTTCACACCTCTAATATATATATATATATATATATATATATATATATATATATATATATATATATATATATATATATATTCAACCAGCATTACTGGATATTTAATATCAGGTTTTAAGCCCATTGTACATCCTAATGGACATGCATTTGAAAAAATCCAGATCTAAAGCTTGCAATGTTACAAAAGATTTAAAACTTTAATTAGTGAGTGCAATCCCTCTTTTCTTACATACAATCTATGAAATATTGGCAAAAATACCAATAAATCTGAATAAAAACATTGTAAATGTGGCTTACGTCTGTGTCTGGAGTGAAGTGATGCCATGCTGCTTTTCAGTGTAATAGATTTTTTTTCAAAGTACAACACGGCGAGCCTTACCACCTTTTGATTAGATGACAATCGTCCACTCTCATGGACTGCAGGCTTTAAATGAGATGAAATGCTCAGGAACCACAACATGAACAACAACAAAAAACATGGGCTGACGTGATTTCAATTGTAATGAACACAGGGTACGAATGGGGTTCTCTTAAAACTTTTTTTTGGTCTTGCTTTCTAGGTCATTGATATTAATGTGGTACCAATTTGATGTTTTATATTCTTTTTTCTTTTATTGTTTCTACTTTTGTGGCGCTCTAGGTTATTGATCTTTTTATAATTAGGTGACATTATGCAATGTTTTATATTCTCTCTTTATTATTTCTATTGTTATACTGTAGCACCTCGAGTCTAAGAAAAGCACACTATAAATAAAATGTATTATTATTATTATTATTATTACTTCAGACTGTGAGAAAAGACCATTTGACCATAAGTGTGGATAAAATGTAATATTGTTGTAAATTTAAGTGCTAGTATCTGTTGACTTGTATTTTAGAAATCACCAATGATCACACTGTAAAAACTATCTGTTAATTAAAAGTTTCCCTATTTTTATGTTTTCCGGTTGTGAATTGCATTATGGGATGTTGATCTCGGCTCTGTCAACTTTTTATGTAGAAAAATCAACTCTACAGTTTAACAAAGTGACTTTTATTGACATTTTAGTAGTTATAGATTAATAATAAAATGTTTAAGAAATAATATATAGAGCTTTTCACTCATCACAGTACACGTGCTGCTGCTGATGTGACAATAATAGTAATAAATCTGTAAAATAACAAAAAATGTACTGGCAGCTTATTACAAGGCTTGCAGCGATATATATAACAGCAGCCCAAAGAAATTATCACTTTAAACTATTAAAAAGGTTTATAAAAATAACTTTTTCCAAATTTTTAAGGTTTTATCGTTTCTACTTTTGTGGGTTTCTAGAAGCTTATCATGATGTTATGTGATGTTTTATATTACTTTTATTGACACTTTAGTAGTTTGAAATATAAAAATGTATAAGAAATAATGTATAAAGAAGTAAATCTGTAAAATAAGAGAAAATGTATTAACAGCTTGTTATTAGAAGTTTTCGTAGCGTAATATACAACACCAACCCCCAAAAAACATATCAGTTTAAACTATTAAAAATGTTAATAAAAGTCACTTTTCCAACTTTTTAAGGTTAAAAGTTGTCAGAAGAATTATCAAGGTCTCAAAATCTGATTCAAAAGCATAAATAAACTGGAAAAAATTAATACATTAATCACAAAATACGGAACACTGCTAATTTATGGATAGTTTTTACAGTGCAGCTAACAAAATCTACTTTAATGTTATCAGAAGACAACATCACCCACATCTTGAATGTACTTATAAGGAAGTAACAATAACACTAAAATGTTTTGTGGTGAACTATCCCTTTAATTTCACACCGACCAATATGACCTACAAAAATAAGTAAATAATAAATAATGTAATAAATAATAAATGTGTACACATTGCGTTATGGATGTGACATTTGTAGTAAAAAATTTAAAACATAAATTCACAGAGAAATATATGTTAACATTATATTGAAGCATCTGTTTATATTTTCCAAAACAACTAACCACAGAGTTATGGGATCAAACAATTTTAATCTGTTTAAAACATTTTTTATACTTTAAATGAGGAAAATAAAGATGTGTTATGGACGTGACAAAAAAAATCTGTGAGTTTACAGTACACAACATATTTTGTAGTAATTCTGTGAATTAAACTGCACAATCCAAAAGAAACAATGCTCATCAAAAGGATAAGAGTTTGCTCTCTATAGAACAAAAAATATTGATTGTATTATTATTATTTTTTTTAATTTTTGCATTTTTGAGGGAAAAGCTATGTTATGGATGTGACACTTTTTCGTTTTGGATGTGACGGATGTGAAATTGCCATCTGTGTGATTGGTAAACCAAATATAATAGTTTGAAAACATTGACAGAGACATTTTAAATGATCTTAAAAGTACTGTAAAACATTTTGCAACGCAAAAAATGTAGAAAAGGTTTTGCTATTTTGGTGAAAACATTTTTCTTTTTATGGCAAGGTTGATATTTGCATGGAATTGCTCGTATATATACACTTATACACACACACACACACACACACACACACACACACACACACACACACACACACACACACAAAAACTCACACACACACACACACACACACACACACACACACACACACACACACACACACACACACACACACACACACACACACACACACACACACACACACACACACAGTTAAGTCAAAATTATTAGCCCCCTTTTGATTTCTTTTAAAAATATTTGATGTGTAGCAAAGCAAGAAAATGTTCACAGTTTGTTTGATAATATATATTTTTTCTGAAGAAATTCTTGTTTTTTTTCCCGGCTAAAATAAAAGCAGTTATTAATAAAATTAAAAAAAACATTTTAAGGACAAAATTATTAGCCCCTTTGAGCTATTTTTTTTTTCAGATTGTCTAAAAAACAAACCATCAGAATACAATAACTTGCCTAATTACCCTAACCTGCCTAGTTAATCCAATTAGCCTAGTTAAGTCTTTAAATGTCACTTTAAGCTGTATAAGTGTCTTAAAAAATATCTAGTAAAATATTATTTACTGTCATCATGGCAAGGATAAAATAAATCAGTTATTAGAACTGAGTTTCAAAACTATTATATTTAGAAATGTGTTGAAAAAAATCTCTCCGTTAAACAGAAATTGGGGAAAAAATAAACAGGGGGGGCAAATAATTCAGGGGGGCTAATAATTTTGATCTTAACTGTATATATATATATATATATATATATATATATATATATATATATATATATATATATATATATATGTAGGCCTATATACGATCAAAATACATATTTTGTTTTTGCTGACAATGGCCAAAAAACAAAAACTGCAAAAGAAATGATTATATTCACTCAAGAAGTCTAAAATTCGTGTATAACATTTTGTATAATACATTCGAATTTAAAACACACAGGTACATCTAAATTGACAAAGCATATAACGTCTATATTGTACAATTTCAACATTACAGCCACTGCACTCATTCATGAGGTCTGCTCGTTGTTGAGGTGAAAGCGGTCATCGACATGCCATGGCCATGACCCACAGTACAGTGATTGTACAGTGCAGCACTTAGTTTTAGTGAACATTTTGCATTTGTAGGGTGTCAGAAAAGGGGAAGGTAGCAAACTTCCTGTGTTAAGAGAGCAAATCAGACAACAGCGGTTCATCCTCACCATGAGTCAGTCATGACAACAGGCCACCCCCTCAGACTCTCTCCTTCTATCATTCTTCACACAAACTTCCCCATTTTCATCTTATGAAAGTTGACAAACGTTCACTAAAATAGTTGCTTTGACAACTTTAAGCATTGACAGACCTATTGAGGAATGTAGTTTTTGCAACCACGTTTAAATATAGCTTTTAAACTCATTTATATTTGAACAAATGTAATGGACGACCAAACAATAAATGCAAACTGACAACTACACATATACAGACGGAGAAAAAGCATATGCTACTTTTTTTGGCAATTTAAGCAAAACCAAAACACTTACCTTAATAACTCCTGCTTGTGTTTACTTTGGCATTCTCAACAAATCCTCTTCCACCCTGTTATATCACTACTTATCCAAACCAAAACACCCCGTGAGATAGAAAGTCAAGACAGTTCTGCTCCTTCCTCCCTCTGTCACTGTGTGTGTGCTGCTGATACTGAATGCTGAGTAAAACCTCACCTTATTGGCCCCTCCTCCTTCACTTGCCTTCTCACTTTTACAAATGCTGTCTCTTTGAATTTAAACTACCACTTTTCTGACAGGCTTTGTTGTGGGTGGCACGTTTCAATAATGGCTACTTATGCCTGTTTGGATGTCTTAAAGAGATGTCTTAAAAAATATATATATCTGCTATAAATTACTCACCTCTTGTTAATTTTTCCAATGAAGTCGTTGGACGACAGCATGCATTCTTCAAATGACTTTCTTTTGTGATCAAACGAAGGATAGAAAGATTTGAAACCACACAAGCAATGATACATGATGTCATTTTTTCACTTGCTATTCTGAAAGTCAGCTTTCATCTGAACATCTGCCCACGCTTTCCATTGTACACTGTGGTTGATTAGACCACAATAGATGTGAGGGAAAACAAACGATAATTTTGATTTCTAAACTAATTTTATATCTGGCTCTAAATTAAGTGCATTATTATAACCTTTCTGTTTTGCTTCTACAGAAAGAGAAGAAGCTCACGTGTGGTCTGGATCATATTGCATCACATTTCACTCTAGTTCACTTATGCAGATTCATTGTTCCTACTTATTAAATATATCCAATTTTTGTTTAAAGCAAAACATTAACCAATAAAACAGATATGTTCAATCTGTGAAGAAATTAGACAATGTTCCCATAAGCCTTTAACTGTCTCACCAACAAAAAAGTTTTAGATTGCATTTCTTAACTCTTAATGTCGCTAGTTAACATCTTAAATGCATTTTTTTTTTTCAACACATCTCATAATATCTATAATATCAACCATTTGGTAGAGGTTTATATTTCGGTTTATGGTAAAAGTACCAGAATTAATCTGAAAATAAGAAGTGTAAAACCTATATATTTAAGAAAAATAATCAAAATTAAAAATTTTTTAATACCAAATTTTAATTTTGCCTACGGCATAAAATAAACTCACTGACCACTTTATTAGGTACACCTTTTCAAGTACCAGGTTGGACCCCTTTTGCCTTCAGAACTGTTTTAATCGTTAGTGGCATGGACTCAACAAGGTAATGAAAATATTCCTCAGAGATTTTGGTCCATATTGACATGATAGCATCACGCAGCTGCTGCAGATTTGTGGGCTGCACATCCATGATGCAAATCTCCCGTTGCACCACATCCCAAAGATGCTCTATTGGATTGAGTTCTGGTGACTGTGGAGGCCATTTGAGTACAGTGAACTCATTGTCATGTTCAAGAAACCAGTCTGACATGATTCGTGCTTTATGACATGGTGCGTTATCCTGCTGGAAGTAGCCATCAGAAGACATGGTCAGCAACAATACTCAGGTAGGATGTGGCTATGCCACAATGTTCAATTGTTACTAATGGGCCCAAAGTGTGCCTGAACCATTAATAATACTTATTTACAATAAGGCCAAAATCAAGTGTTGTAGTGCAACAGGATTATGTTTGATTTTGTTGTAAACCAATGTTTAAAATGGTCATTCTTTAAATGAATTTAACAGTCATAATTTAAAAGATTCAAAACAAACAAGATTTATTGTCTACCAAATGAAATAAGCTATTTTACTGGGTCTTCAGGAAATCCATTCCTCCTGCACAAAACGGCATAATAAATCTGCGTAATCCCCATTTTTGGACTTCACAGACAGTCCAAGGACAAGGTCTGTGTTGACCTTCAAACACTGTAACTGTAGCCTGGAACAGTTTGGTTTATCGTGTAACGAAGATGTTGTTTTTTGCTCTGCGGAAGCACATTAAATTATCAAGAACTTCCCAGGGATGAGGAATCAGGGTTGAACTAATATGGCAAAAATGACACCAGTGTCACTATTTTGAAATCTTCCAGAGCTGAAATGTAGATAGGCAATGGGCATTTTGTTTTTAAAAATGCAGACCTATCACAACAGATCTTTTACCAATTAAATGTAGTCCAAAACCATTTTTAAAGATTCATGTGGGCAGCACAATGGCTTAGTGGTTTTCACTGTTGCCTCACAGCAAGAAGGTCGCTGGTTCGAGTCCCGACTAGGCCAGTTGGCATTTCTGTGTGAAGTTTGCATGTTCTCCCATGATCATATGGCTTTTAATTTAAATGGACTAAAAAAGTGGCCGTAGTGTGTGTGTCAATGAGAGAGTGTATGGTAATGGTCTTAAACTCAATTCCTGCAGGGCCACAGCTCTGTATATACTAGTTTAGCTCCAACCACCTCCAACTCACACCTGCTTAATAGTCTCTAGTAGTCTTGAACAACTTGATTAGTTGGATCAGTTGTGTTTGATTAGGGTTGGAGCAAAACATTGTAGAGCTGCGGCCCACCAGGAATCGAGTTTGAGAGCTACGGTGTATGGGGTGTTTCCCAGCATGGTGCTTGGTTGCGGCTGGAAGGGTATCCACAGTGTAAAACATATACCAGAGTAGTTGGTGGTTCATTCTGCCGTGGGGACCCCTGATAAATCCAAAGGAAAATGAAGAAATCTCGATGTTTTCAAAAATGATTACACATTTCCAAAAAACACAGTAAACACATGGCAGCAAACAAAATGTAGTACAACATATCAGGGGCGCCGCTGGCTGGTACGGCCCTTATGAAAACCTTTAGTGGGTTGTTGCTAGATCGGATATGTTTGCGGCCTAAAGTTAACAAGAATTATTTATATTATTTATTAAATTACTAATTTACTGTATTTTATTAGCGTCTACCCCCACCCCAATCCTAAACCCAACCAGTACAGTACTGTAAAGACAGCAGTTCTACCGATCATTACTTATGCTATCTTTTAAATTACCCAATAAATTTGATTTTTTAATGCCTACCTCCACCCCAACCCTAAGCACAGCCAAGTAGTTTGCGCTGTCATTTTGTTAATAAAAAGAGAAGTCACCATTAGCCCATTCTGGGACGAGATTTCCGTTATGAAAATCATTACCTACTTTTGCACTACTCCTAAATAACAACTTGCAGAAAGATGTAAACAAACAAGCAAAATGAAGTTAATCCACACTCTGGAAAAGCAGTATTAGCAAATTTATGAGCTGCAACAGCACTACCATGTATTGTTTTTTTGTTTGGCTTGCCTTTAAAATCGATATGTACTGCTCATGTCTACATACATGACACATATTACACATGCGCATGATGTCACTGTTTTCAAAGATTGCCATATTGTGACTGTGTCCGAAACTTCAGACAGACAGCATTAAGATTTAATCAGGCACAACTAAATAGAGAGAGCTTTGTTGTTACCTAAGGGGATATTTGCTTACTATTCTCTTTACTACTAGCTTACATCTTCTTGCAAAAAATGCCATCAAAAGTGGTCAAAAACCCCCAAAAATGATATTCAAGTGGCACATTTTGAGATGCCAGGTTTAATATTTTAGCTCAACTCTCAAAAATTCACAGTATTGTGGGACATTGAATGCAAAGGACAGACTGAAATTCATTCAAAGAAGTACCAAGAAGACAGCAAGTGAACCAGAATTTGGATTTGAGCGTGCCTTGATGCCTTCCTATCTTAGAATACCGCCTCTGAGTCTGAAAGCAGCAATTTAGAGCTTTTAATTCAGTCTGAGTGTATACACAGAAACAATAATAGCATTGCTTTATAAACATTGCACTTTCAAACTGATTTTTGTTTTCAGCCCCCAAAACACTGTTTTCATGTAAACAAACAGGCAAAATGCATTAAAATGTTCACGCTTTTGCATGAAAACCTGAACATTGGATAGATATAAAACTGTTGCGATAGACATTCAAAATAAAATAGCAAGCTTTAGATTAGCATAACAGGGCACTTAAATCACACAAGCCTATATATCTGTACACTTTCACATTCTAACAAATGTAGTGACAGCTTCTTTGCTCTTGTGTATTATCTTGGTGTGAGAGGATCTACAATATTCATTTCCTTCCTCTCACCAATTTCTCATCTATTTACCATGATGTATTTAAATTAGGCTCTTTTAGTCTCATTACTGGAACAATAATTTCCATTTCAGATATTTACGTGTGTAAAGGTTTTTATATTTAATAGAAAAGTGTGACTTATTATTTAGTGTGACATTATCTCCCATGGAAGTCTCATTGGCCTCCTTCTGGATGTAAACTAAATAATAATAATAATAATACAATATTAATTGTTTATGATTGTGAAGTTTACTTTTTATTAATTATTTGCAAGTGTAAAAATAAACAGAATTACAATAAAAACAAATACTTCAGTCAAATGTCATAATCATAAGGCTCAGTTAGAGGTAAAAAAAAATACAAATGTTTTTTTTTTTTCAGGTACATGGTAATGGTCTCACAGCACAGCAATTATCATGCAAATCTTTACTGATCATGACTGTGAAGACTGAAAGTAGAGAAGTTTTCGGAGGAAGTTGAAAGACCCAGGCATTTGTTTATACAGGCCTTTGGCAGATATTTGTGAGACTGCATCATTTACCTAAAGAAAAAAGATATTTAATGAACACTGTACACTTATTTTATGCACTATTTTATTATCACAGCACCTAAAATGTCTGTTTTACTTCAATAAACTTATTTTAAAATATAAATGTTTTTTTGTTTTCATACACACAGACTTTAAACCTCAAGGTAAGATTGAAAAATTACACAATTAATAATAAGCTACATAGTTATTTATAATTGTATAAAGCTGTATAGAATATATACACATTGCTCTAATCATTATTGATGCATATACTGTATAATGCATCTATATGTGGCAGTTTCCATCACATAAATCAAACTTCAGAAGATTTACAGGACAAAGACGTACCAACATCAGCATGGTCACCAGATCATCTGTGATAGCGTTTTCCTCCAGCACACGATCAAGATTCTCCACATACCAAGAGCCGGCCTCTGTGTCCCTCCAGGAGACATAACCTGCAAATAAATCATCATGCACACCATTTAATATGAACTCAAAAATACAAAATTAGTGTGTTAAAATTTGACAAAATCCACTGGGCTACAAGATTTTTGGTGGTTTTCTGAGATGTGCATGCAAATATGTTATTGAATCATGTTTGGCAAATGGTTTCTCTTTCTAAAGCCAAAAACGATGTTTAAGTTTCGAACCATAGATAGTTCTAGGCTTTTATTCTACAGGGGACTGAGCCTCTGCTACATATGGTGGTTTATATGATCATATAGCTTAAATTATCAATTTTTTTAAATGAATGATTCAGTAACACACTCAAAGACATCATGTTTCAATTTCAAATGAATCATTCGATGACAAATATGTTTTTGAGGGTTGCATGTCACTAGCCAATGGCATTGCATTCAAACGTTGATTTCAGTCTTTGCCAAAAACATAAGTAAAGGATTATTAACATACTCAAAATTGTCATCATTTAACGATTAATTAGTTTTTCTGCATGCTTTTTATTGCATAACCAGAACAAAAATATACAAAAGTGGAGAAATAAGGTACTTGTAGTTTTTTTTACAGTAGCAACAAAGGAACAAACAAAAAAGTATTGAAAAAAATACAAATAAAAATACAATTGAACAATAATAAAAACATCTATAATTAATGAAAGTCAAGCATTTAGGCGAATTTCAAGTCACATCCTCCTTGCTTACAGCTAAAGCTACAGAATAGGCATTAGCAGAATTAAAAAAATAAATAAATAAAAAAAAACAAAAATTAACTTGGTTTGTCATACTGTGATTGCTATCATAACATAATATCTCAATTTATTATCATTATTTTTAGATCTTTCAGAGTTAATACGTTTAAGGGGGCTGAAATGACAGCCCCTGATCCAAACACAAACCTGGAAATGTTGAGTAGGACACCAGGATGTCACTGGGCGTGGGCAAACTTGCCCGTGCATCAAGTTCATCAGACGCTGTGCTGAGAGAGTCACTGCTAGAGGACATGGGAATAGCGTCCATCTCGTCATCTATCCCACCTATAGATGGTTGAACGTCATCTGGAGAAACCTCAAAACCAATATCCTTCTCACCTACAGGAGCAAACAATAGACAGTTCCATAGTTTGAAAAATAGCAATCAACATGGAAAACATTCAATTAAAATAAAGTCTTGGGTTGTTTAAATGGTTCCACTGATGTTTGGAGTCCATACACAAATGACTGTTTAGGCTGAAGACTGCATTGTGTGCCTTTAAAAATACTCAAATGTGCATCTTTGCACTTTACATATACTTAGATAGCACATTTCTTGTATTTGGGCCAAGTTTTCAACCTGCCTGTAGACTAACTTTGTATTTTCCCACTAGACACACTTGTAATGCAAGTGTTTACTAAGCTTCATTTTGATTTTTAATACTTAGGATTTTAAAATAAAGATCTAAATGAATGTTTGGTCTTACCTGTAACAGACAGTACAATGTAATAATACATATAATCATTTTAAATAATGTACCAATTTTACACATTCATCATTGCACGTTAGCACTTTGTTTATCCGCTGAGTGTTTTACACTTACTCTGCTGTACATTTAGTGTGTGTTAATGGTGCTACATGTTGGTGTTTTTAAGAGCTCATATAATCTTGTGTACTTCCTGTTGCATGCACACACTTTCAAAAGGCCAAGTGTGGGTGTTTGGACAGAGCCAAACTCTTGAATGCCCGGTTTTCATGACAGTCTTTTTGATGCAGTTTTTTTAATCAGTTTTCACCAACATTCGGTACAGATGGTGATAAGAGACATAACTTTAAACAAAATGAAGAAAATATGACAATGTCAGCATATGGTGTTTGACCACTTTGATGTGTCAACAACCACAAAAGCTAATCAAAGTGAGACAATTTGTACACTGGCGCATTGAGACATTTGCATACTAACTAATGATGCACACACATTAAAATTCTGGGCCAAAACCAAATATTGTGGATGCAAAACCTAGAGTGAAAATGCTTTGTTATCATATTTTTTTATTTTAATAAACAATAAGCAATCATTTTGTAGAACTTAAAAAAATATTACTCAATAACTTAAATTAAACTGATAAAAAAACACAAAAGTAAATAAAATAACCACATTTTATTGACAGTAAATATTTAAGAGAAGTGGCATTTTAAAAGTGTTGTGCACAGCTAGTGTTTCCTCCCATACCAATAAATATCTGGTGAACGGTTATTATGACTTTTTAAAAATTTTATACAGTTCCTTTTTCAACATCAATGTTTTAATGTAATTAAAATATAATAGACTTCAGCATTTATTTCACTGTTTAAGCGTAAAATTAGATAAAAAGCCTTTTACATGCACACCTCTGTCAGGATCAGCAGAAACTCTGAGGTAACTAAATTTTAAAGACATGTCATGGGAAAAATGTTATTTAATGCAGTGCTTCTTGTGCATTTTGAAACCCACTTCATATCGTAAATCAATCAGCCAGTGGAGATCGTTGATTTTTAAAGAAAACAGACCTAAACGCATTGATTTTGTAATGGCATACAGTTCACCGAAAGCATTTGACCCAGGTTACTGAAATATTAAAAGTTCATCGCATGCACCCTATAGCACTATTACAAGCAGCAAGAACAAGTATACTACATAGAAATTTCTTGTTGGCTTGTTATTTAAGCGTACATGAAAAAGTATATGAGAACATGAGCGAAATATCCACAGAGCGGAATATTGATCGTGGCACATGTTGGTCGAAACTGCTCTTGAGCGACACAAACCATTGAAATGAATGGGTTTCATAGACCAGTACTTTCCACATCCAGTGTGAAAGCTGCTTCACCTCAAGCAGTGACTATGGCTGGACGAAGACTAAAACCTGCCCACTAAACACTGCAAGCCAGTAATGCACAGCCTTTTTTGGGCTTATTTGTTGGCCTCCTTTCTTTTTCAGCTGAAGAGCAAAATACTATTTTTGGTTGATAATTTCTGGAGGCCTAACATTAACTGCATCACTAAAAAAAACTCATTCTCACTTGTGTAGGATACCGTTCTGTTAAACTTTATATAATGCATGTAAATATGCAAGTATCAACCATTATATTGCATTCCATAAAAGTCTCCACTTCATAATGGTCAATATGTTCATGTCTGCAAATATTAAAGAATCATCTTCAGAACTGCCACTTCAACGTAGTCAAACTCTGTGTGTTATATGACTACAGTATGATACTTTCTTAATTACTTACTCCCAGGGATGTTTATTTCGAAGTTGATATTTAGCCACACCATGTTGGTGTTTGGTGTTTCGTAACATCAAATTTTTATGAGGTGGGTCATTAGCCCAAGGTTCAACATACACACATACACTATGAACTATTTAGTTTTCCTAATACACCTATAGCGCATGTCTTAGGACTTGTGGGGGAAACCAGATCACCTGGAGGAAACCCACGCAAACACGGAAAGAACATGCAAACTCCACACAGAATTGCCAACTGACCCAGCCGGGGCTTGAACCAGCGACCTTTTTGCTGTGAGGCAACAGCGCTACATTTTGCCGACTACAGTATGATACCTTCCATAAATGATGCACACCATTCACTGTGCAACTCAAATTCTACTATGTGGACGGTGCACTTACAACATGCCTGAAAACTGAAGCTATTTTGATGGTGGCTGGCTGCAGTACAGGTCATAAACCTGACCCTCTCCATGTAAATGAATGTTACGAGAGTCAAAAAAAATAATCTAATTGCACTTTAAAGAAATTTTTCGACAGTATAAAGTAGTTCTTACCATGCTGATTGTGTTTTTTTTTAAATTTGGGACATTCTGACTTCACTTTTTTAATAATATGTTTGTCTTTTTTTTTACAGTCTATTATACAAGAGCATACATGAAATGTTGAGGCAGAAGAACCCACTAGGCTCACATGTGTAAACTCGTTCCTCTCCTGTCATGTAGTTGCTTAAATGGCTTAAATGTGTCAGCAATTTTTAGCTACAAGACTCGTAAAACATTTTTAAGGTGCCCACCTCCTCCGCAGGCCTGGATGAAAAATAACTTGGGCTTGCCCTGAAGAGAAGGACAGTTCTGGCCATTGAGGTAGTTTGTGATTATCTGAATTGGGACAGCCGGTCCGTCAACACCATGAACTGCACCAGGGAATCGATTATGGCTTGCCTGAACATTAAAAAAGCACAAAAGAACCACAATATAATTTGGTAGTAGGATCCTATTTTGATGTTCTCCAAAATGAGGAAGCAATCAAAACCGCTCATGCAAACAAATGAAGGTTGTTCTTCTTTGTTGAGCAACTAATAGTGTTCAAATATAGAATATATTATATGTAGCATTTAGCTAATTGTTTTACCTCAGTGCCATGTGAAAGGATGATGACCACACAGCAGTCGTATGTAGAGTGATCTTTCTTCGCTAAAGATGCCATCTCGTGCCTTATGCGCTACATATCGGAGCAAAACATTTCAATTAATTTCTAAAAAACTTGTTAATGACCGAGGGATATTTATTTTGCAGCTGTGTTTACAGAGAGAAAAAGAGGAAATACTGAGCTTACTTTAGATTTCAAGTTCCTTTTTACTGTAACCTCAAAGTTGAGCGCTTTAAATCTTTTCTCCAGCTTGTCGCAGTCGATGTTGGAGCCCTTGCGGTCATTTAGTTCAGAGGCTTTTTCAAAGTTGATATTGTTTATGATCAAGCAGACCCCACACGGACTGGCATCCATCTTGTAGCACTGAAAAAATATTAACCCCAGATTAATAAGGGACTAAGCCGAAAAGAAAATGAATGAATGTTTGGACAATTACTCTCAACTTGATATTCTACTTGACCTTGTGAATACTGAGAACATCCCAATGGAATAACATGGAAATATTTACATTACCAACCCCTGTAAGTGCTCCAATTCATGATGCAACTCTTTATAATATTACAATATTCAAATTATATATGTATATTAAATATGAATGGGGGAAAATGAAAAGTATAAACAATAAAAATTATAGAAAGTGACTATGGCAAAGCTGTTTTTACACACATTTAATTTACAAATTATACAATGATATATGCTATTGTCTTATACTGTACATCACGACCTGGGAACTTAAGGTACTTAAGGTCTTATTTTCTTAGATACTGTACTGTAACTATTAAATAGACGGTAAAACTTATTCACTAGATACTAGTATCTAATCATTAGATACTAGGGCTGCACGATATTGGAAAAATCAGACATTGAGATATTTTGTTTTGCTGCTATATATATATATATATATATATATATATATATATATATATTTATATATATGTATTGCGATATGGGTGGCACATTGGCGCAGTAGGTAGCTGGTTTGAGCCTCAGCTGGGTCAGTTGGCCTTTCTGTGTGGAGTTTGCATGTTCTCTCCGTGGTCGTGTGGGTATCCTCCAGGTGCTTCAGTTTCCCCCACAAGTCCAAAGACATGCTATAGGTGAATTAGGTAAGCTAAATTGTCTGTAGTGTATGTGTATGAATAAGAGTGTGTGGGTGTTTCCCAGTGATGGGTTAAAGCTGGAAGGGCAACCGCTACGTAAAACAAGTGCTGGATAAGTTGGGGGTTCATTCTGCTTTGGCGACCCCTAATTAATAAAGGGACCAAGCCGAAAAGAATATGAATGAATAAATGAATGGTGCGATATGAATATATAATCACCATATGATTTGAATAGCTCTATTTTGAAAAGATTTTATTAATTTAGATTGACTGGGGTGATCAAGTCTTATTCAATGCAGTGAATCATAAAATAAAATAGATTACAAGCATGAATAAATATGACAGAGTAAAAATAAAAGGGTCCCACTTTATATTAAGTGGCCTTAACTAATATGTACTTACATAGGTATTAATAGTTTGTTACAATGTACTTATTGTGTAAATACATGTATTTACTGTGTACTTACGCTTGATTAAATACATGTATGTAGTTACATCTGTAGTTAACTTTTGTAATTACATTTGTAAATACACTGTTGACTATCCCTTACACCTTAACCCACCCTTAAACCTACCCATGCCACCAAACCTGTCCATAACCCAACCTCTATTCCAACTCAAAAGCACCACAAGTGTTCTCAAATACATTATAAACACAGTAAGTACATTGTATTTATTTTTTGATGTAAGTACATAGTAGTTAAGGCCACTTAATATAAAGTGGGACCAATAAAGGTTATAAAACAGTGTTTTATGGTTTTCTGGAGAGTCTAATAGTATTCAAGTACAGAAATTAAACAAGCAAACCTAAAATTAATCACATGGTGATCATTGTATAATATATAAAATCTTAAAAATGTTTATATAAAAAAAAAAAAACTAATCCTGTGATGTGACTCTTGCAGGTACACACATTGCAGTACTGATGCTCAAATGATATATTGTTTAGCCCTAATAGATACCATTAAAAAATTTCAAGTTTTGCATACATTTTACACATTTTTTTTATATAAAAGCAAATATGAAACATTAAAAACTATATGAATATACTTCGAAATAGCATAATGAACAAATATATTAATTCACAAATCTAATTATTATATTATTTAAACGCTATTTATATAAATATATAAATGTTGAAAATTATATGTATATATATGCTTGGTATCACTTTATTTTAATGGTCTCTTTAATGCATTTTGTTGAATATGAGTTACATTGCATCTACGTGCCAACTAATTCTCAATAGATTATGAGTAGACTGTTAGGTTTGGGTTGGGGTTAGTGTAAGTTGTCATGTACTTGCAAAGTTTCATATAGTCAGTTAAATGTCTGTTGAAGAAGCAGTATATATATATATATATATATATATATATATATATATATATATATATATATATATATATATATATATATATTTATTTTTTTAGTTGAGGTTGTAAGGGATTACCTGTATACTGTCACGTCTTGGCCTGGTTGGTCTCACCACAGTTTCAGAAGCTGTAGAAATGCAAAAAAATAAAAAGTGCAAATTCATGCTTTATAAGCAGTATATACAAGCATTATTTGTACTAAATGTCTAGTATAAACTACTCTGTTTAAATTAAAACAGAAACTTATAAAGCTAGTGACTTACGTGGACTATATGTCTTGTGCACCGGCAGGCTTTCAGGTCTCAGTGGTACTAATCGTGGAGAAGCGATATCAGGTTTGTCTGGCTTTTCAGTATGATTTAGATTTTCTGCATTGAATCATAAGATCAGACAAGATGATTGCCAGTTACGGCTACGGCTCAAGAGGATGATGGTCAGATAAGGGTGTTTTAAGTTCGTATTACAGGAGCATATCTATATCCAAGTAAATCCTGTGTTACTGATGGAAAAACACACTTACGGACTGGCAGAGGGATCGGTGAAGGCTGTACAGAAATGACAGGAGGGCGATGAACACCATCTCCGCTTTGAAGGAGCTCTGCAAGATCATTGTGGCCAGTCTCACGCAGGGAATCAAGAAAGGCTGGGAAAGCAAGACTTCCTCTCGTCTCCAGGTCTTTCACCAGTTGCCTGGCTTGGTCACGTCTGGTTGCCTTGCTCTGTTAGAAAAAAAGTTTTACATGAAATTTGCAATGCAGTGTAATTACTTGAATGTTTAAAGTTTTTTACAGCCAGGTGTGCATGTGTGTGCATGTAATAGTAAGTGGGTGGACAGGTCAAAGTAATACATTTTTAAAAATAAAAATATGTTGTTTAACCAATAATTGAAACTGTTCTTTGAATAGTTTTATATTTCTCCAATGTTTTTAATACTTAAATGCAGTATAATTGCAGTGCTTGAGATTTAAATTGTAGTTTTTTTTACTTATTAAAGCCATTATGTGAACAGTCTTGTGTCTTGTCTTTTATTTAACCTATTTTTAATTATGTTCGCTTCACATTTTTGCGTATTCCTTACTAGTGGTTTTTTATTGGGCACTGGAATAATTTGATTGCTAGAAATGGTTCCTAATCTTTAGATGCTATTATTTATTTTTAAATATTGATTATTCTTCATTAGATACTGGTATTTGATATAAGATGCTAATTCTTATTCATCAGACACTAGTACATATTAAATGCATTAAATACCAGTACTACTTATTATTATTATTATTTATTTTTTGTTAATCGTATACTGACCCTTCTAAAATATATGTAATGTTTAATTTTGTTACACACTTTTGTTTATTCATATTTATACAACAGTTCTGTCTGGATCTCGAATCTGATTGGCTGATAGCCGTGATACATTTAAGTAATATCAGCATCCATACAGCCTCTTTACCCTTTGTGTATTACTTCGCCCAAATACACCCAGCAACAAGCAGACACTACAGTTTGACAAATATTACTGCTGTTAGACAACCAAAAATACTTTTGAGGCTTTTTTAGTCGAGAATGAAGTTGTTAAGATTGCAACTATGCAGTTTATTTGCAAGAATAGTGCATATTTTAAAATATTTACAATTTCTGAGAGACAGCTCGTCGGCGACAGTTGACGTTTTCTATCCACAAGATTGTGAAAGAACCGCATAATAAGCCCTTACGCTTAGAAGATGTAACAGTCTGATTTCTAACTATTGCAGATCAAATCAATATAAACTGGTAAGCACACTTGCCAACACTTCAGTTTTTCCTGGGAGTATCCCGTATTTCAGACCAGTCTGCTGCAAACATCCCGTTTTTATTTCTTTCTAAAAAAACTCGAGTAATTTCACCCACCCCACTCTTTGGTACAGTCTGTAAACTAAACACCCCCGGGTTGCCAACTTTGGTACAGTACCAGAAACTGGTAAAGTACACAAAACCCACTGCATCCTGTTCTCAACCTCATCCCAGAACACCCAAGGTCTCCCGGGTTTCAGAGACATGTTGGCAGGTTAGATGATCTCTCTTTTTTGTATGTTGTAGTGCTGTATTTATACCGATTTGCTCGCATATCAGGAATGTGTGTTGTGTTGGCAGATTGAAATAAGCAAACTTCGCACATGTGTAGCGTTTTTCCTTATCGCAAACACAACAGCAGTCTGGTAACATTAGTGGATTCGTTGTTATTTTCGGGGTTAATTATTGTGAAATTCCGATTGCAACAGAGAAATACTGTAGACTGTAACACTGTAAGAAGATGTCTCTGTAGATGGAAGGCATTTCATGTCACGTTCAGCCTTATATTCTTAGTGTAAGCAAAATCAGCAGTTTTGTCATCACTTTAGACATGAGTCATTCAAACACTAGCTCTAAAGTGACGTTGGTGAATTAGTACGGCTTCCGCTGTTTTGACATCAGCTGCAGATGTGAATGAATGGCGGAAGAAAGTAGTTCCTAATACAGAAGAGTTTTAGACTGTGTTTGATTTTCTTTTTTATTTCCAAGATTGTGCCATCGAACTGTTGTATAAACGCAATATCACACTCGTAGCAGTGTGCTATGGCTGTATATCAGCACTGGTGGGGCCTGCGGCCTCTTGCCAATGCACGCCTCCCACCAGTGCTGATATACAGCCACAGCACACTGCTACTCGTGTGATATTGCTCATAAATATAACTTATAAATAATTACATTGGTGAGCTTCTTCACAGGCATACTTCATTGAGGCCAATTAGCTCGGAAAACCAGTTTCAGCTAGTTGCTCAAAAAACTCAAAGGGTGGCAGAGCTTTTTCTGTCACAGGCCCTCATCTTTGGAATGGTTTGCCTTTACATATCAGGTCATGCTCTTCCCTTGGTGCTTTTAGGTCGCATTTAAAAAAAATCAACTTTTGTCTCTTGCTTTTGATTGCAATTAATTAATTTAAATCTGTGCTTTATAAATAAAGTAAACAAATAAACAATTAATAATTGTATTTGTACTTTTTAAATACACACAACAGTAATATTTATTCAAATGGTACATTTTATTAATAAGAATTGCATCTTGTAATAACAAAACAGGTCTAATACTAGTTCCCAATAAAGAACTATTCGTACCTATTTACATAGGTAGTTAATAGATGCTACACACAAAAAATAGTATCTAATGATGAATAAGTACTATCCCTTAAACAGGCATGAAAACTTAGAGAATAAGCACTATTAGTCAATGAGTACGTTCTAAAATATGCCATTATCTAAAAATACTGCTAAGAGAAAATAGAAAACATTATAGTATGTTTTAGAAAGTCTTCAGTTTCCATTCTCCTTTGTGGTGTGATGCTAAGCACCTCATTTACACCACAGATTGAAAGAAAGTGAGTAAACAAATTATTTAAACAGTTTTTTATTCATTCATTCATTTATTTGTGTACTGCTCCTTTAAGAACGGGTGTAAAACTTTCACAATGCCCTCAATTTCTTTATGAGAATAACGGCATCAATAAATATTACCTGTATTTCATCGATCATGTCCTGAGTGAAGACCCCCTTTGACAGAAGCTTATCACAGACGTCTTCGGGATTCAATGCCTTGACGAGGTTTAACCTGTGCCGCTGAAGAATCTGTCTGTGTTTCTGCTCCATTCTGACAAGAGTTTCCAGTGTTTATGACTCCGACGATTTCGAAACAATATATATTTTTGGTTGCTAATGTGTGTCAATAATACTCAGTAAACGCGTCAAACACAGTAAAGATGAATTATGTTGAACTGATCGGCAATGAACATAAAAAAATGAACTGTCCTCATACGAGCAGCTCCCATTCGCTTCCTTGTTTACATCATGCCTGCGCTGACGTCACTGTCTCCGGGCTGGGTAGTTGTTTACTAGAAAAGACGTACAGCGCGTTTCATTTTATGTGGAGGATTATTCAGGTGATTTCCGTAGAAATTACATTTCAGGAAATTCCAGAAGTAATGTTAGGCAGCTAAATGTAGATTTTTTCAGTGTTCGAACTAAACAGTGGCCCAACAAACACATCAACGTTATAATGTCTGTACAACGTTGCATTTTTATATATACTTTAAACAATGATAATTTAATAAAATGTAAATGTTATCACCCATATGTTTTTATTAATAACGTTTTAGTGACAATGATTATATATGACAATGAAGAAGCAAATTTTTAGTTTCTGTTATACTGGACCATTTTTGTTTCTTATTATTTCATTAATTACGTTATATTTAATATACATTACATATTTTATATATACATTTAAACAAGGATAATTTAATAAAATTTAAATGTTATAATGTTGTTATTAATAATGTTATATTGACATTGATTATATATGACAATAATAAAGCAAGGTTTTACTTTCTGTTATCCTCTAGGGTAATTTTTTTTGTTTCTAATATTACATTTATTATGTTGCATTAAACATATAATACATATTTTATATGCACATTTAAATAAGGATAATTATTTAAAAAAATTTAAATGTTCATTCTTTAATTTTCTTTTCGGCTTAGTCCCTTTTATTAAACCAGGGACAGCAGAATGAACTGCCAACTTATCCAGCACATGTTTTGCGTAGCAGATGCCCTTCCTGCCTCAACCTATCTCTGGGAAACATCCATACACACTCATTCACTACAATTTTAGCAAACCCAATTCACCTGTACCGCATATCTTTGGACTGTGGGGGAAACCGGAGCACCCGGAGGAAATCCATGCAAACAAGGGAAGAACATACAAACTCCACACAGAAACGCCAACTGACCCAGTCAAGGCTCGAACCAGTGACCTTCTTGCTGTGATGTGACAGCACTACCTACCGTGCAACTGCGTCACTAAATGTAAATGTTATTAATATTAATTGACAATAAGCCCTTATAAATCCCTTAATATGAAATTAAATTCTTTAAAAACAAAAATGTTAAAATATTTAGCTATTTTTGCACTAACATCAAGTCTCATGCATGTCTCATTAATGTTAATTTATAATTTCTCAACATTAATGTTTGAGTTTGCTGCCAAAATATCCTGTGTACTGTCCAGAGATTTCCAGTCAGTCATAATTTATATTTTTAAACTCATGATTAACTATGTAAAACTTTTCGTATTTTCAATTTAATGTCATGCTTTCATGTTAACATGCCATAATCGTGATTTTTAAAGTAATAAATGATCATATTTATGTTTTCTTTGTTTATTTCACGGTGGAATTTGGCTTTCATACTTTCATTCATAGTTTGATTGTGCATGTGTACTGCTTATATGCATGTGGCAAAATCATGTAGGTACATTAAAAGTGAAAACTGCATCGCCACGTACTGGTAAGGGAATGACATGCAGGGAATGATGTAATAAAAAGGGCAACAACTAATGGTGTATTTTGAGAAGAAAGGTTACAACTGGTGGTCTGTGTAGAATGGGTGTCCTGTAGAGGAATGTATAAGGTCATTATTGTTTGAAGCTGCTGGAGAATGAGGTTATTTGTGAAACAATGATTGTGTATGTAAAACACACATATAAAGTTATAATTGTGAGAGGTTTTCAAGAGTGAGTGACATATTATGACAATTATGTACCATCATGCCAATGTATGTTAACACTCAGACAAGACTGAATCTACGGAGAGAGAACTCTGGTGTGAAAACAGGTATTTGCATTGTAGGAGACAGGGCCCAGAATAACATGAGCACCTAAAGATATACTAAACCCTCAGTAAAGAGAAAACATCCTAAAATGGTCAGTTACAACGAGAGAAGTGGGGAGAGAAAATCAGTATAAATAGTGAAGAACACAGACACTTTAGATTGTCCTGGAGTGAGACTAGTGATGGGACTGCTTATGGACGTCTCTGCTTATTTGGAAAATATTTCAATAAAGTATATTCTTCTGATATTCATAACCCCCAGTCTGAGTTTGATTCATTAAGAGAAAAGCCGAAAACCACAACAGCAGTTTGCAGTGCGCGTTGCTCTGTGTCGGATTCCAAAAAAACGAAGTAGCTCCAGACTACTGAAGTTTAGTGACATTTCTTGTCAATAATGTCTGTGACTGTGACCTTTTGCATCTAACACTGTACGGCTGTAAACTTGTTCTATGTGCGGCATCCAGATGTGCAGGCTGCAAAATGCCTGCGCAGCCTTACACATAGTGCAGAAATGTTAGAGGAATTATCGAACTGTCAGTTTCATTTTATTGAAAAAATACATACCGTGATTGTTATCGTTATCGAATTATCGCCCAGCCCTACTCAAAATAAATTCAAAATTTAAACATGCAAAAGAACACAGATGTTGTACAGTGCAAGCTCTATTTTTTTTTGTTGATACACCTATTTACAATGCACAGATCTAATACAATGCACCAAGAACCAAATGAACCAGTCTGTAAACAACAGCTTGGGTTCTTAAAGGAATTACAGCTAACATTCAACATCATGTGAATATAACTTAAGATATATTTACAAATAAAATAATTAAAAAAAACACTTATTTATTTAAAATACTCCTGTAACATAGTAAATATTGAATCATACTATAGTAAAATGTATTATACTGTATGTATTCTAGTGTTTACAACTCTTTAATTAGCAAATAATTAAATTAAAATGTTTAACTTTATTTTAAATCTATAATTGTGCTATAGCATACTATAGTATTAACTATAGTAAATTGATTTATTTAGTACAATTTATATTGAAAATTTAATAGTAATTAGTTTATATCACTGTAGTTGTATTGCCACTTAGAATATTGGCAACTATAGAATTAAGTGCATAGTTTTTTTTGTTGTTTTTTTTTTATCAATGAAGGAGAGCCATTTCTTGACAAAAATGAAGCAAACCTTTAATATTTTACAGTCTGAATGATCTCGGATTGGAAATGGGACAAGAGGAAACAGAAACTCTCAATGACCTTTTCATAACCATTTGACAAACTGTAACAGTACAGCAAATCAAAACAAGACTTTCAAAACTCAAGGATCTTAAAATCGGAGCCGTTCAGCATGGGATAAAGAAACCACAAATCATTTCATACATTCCATCTCTCCACAGTATACTGTTCTGAAAGCCAAGATACTGGTGTAGATTTGTACATTTAATGGCAAAATGTTCCTCAATATGTTGGGTATAAAACAAACACAAGGATAGAAATGTCATTCACAAAAAGTAGAGTCCGTAGAGAAGAGCTTAGTTATCAGACTTTATAAAACCAGGTCTTGTTAGTCCTTTGAAGATGTGGAGCTTTCCTGCGCCTTGCACCTCAAAGCTGTAATCTGTGGTAATGTAAGGTAAATCTCCTTCAACTCCATGCTGGAACAAAAGAAAAGAATAACAAGAGACTCATTATGTTAGCTGACCAATCAGAGCCTCTTGAGGGCAGGCCTTTTAGAGGAACTAGGAAATTTGACAGTCGTTATCATGTCAGCTGAGTAAGACAAATGGAAAAAATAACCTGATTTGCTACTAATAAAGCATGAGCACATATTGCTTTACATCTTAAAAACACAACCAAGCCTTAAAAATACACTCTGGACCACCCTTTTAAAAATGGTCAGTTTGAGTAGACACTAGCAGTTTCTTGAGCTTGAGTTAAGAGTTGCAAAAGTAAATTCACTCAAAATGAATGAACTTGTCATTACCAAAAACGGTACTACTGTAAAACACAACAAAATTTCTATATTATAAGCACAGTTATAGCAGTAAAAAATTATAATAACAATAATATAAAATAAAAAAGTAGTAATAATAATATACATGGATAAAAACAATAAAACAAGCTCTAATGATATAAACCCTAAATGTAGTCAGTAAAAATATGACACCACATGATATTCACTTACATGAAAAAAAAAAAATGTAAATAAATTATTCAATGAATATTTAAAAAAATAATATGTTTTGTGTACACACACACACATATATATATATATATATATACAAATATACACACACACACACACATATACACACACACACACACACACACACACACACACACACACACACACACACACACACACACACACACACACATATATATATTTACATATACATATACACACACACACACACACACACACACACACACACACACACACACACACACACACACACACACACACACACACACACACACACACACACACACACACACACACACACACATATATATATATATATATATGCAAATTTAACAAACTTTATAAAATTACATAAAAAATAAATATAAATTATGTATACAAAAATGAAATCCAATTAAATAACAAAATAATACAACAATATAAAATGAAATATCTACACAAAATATTAAGTACAACTGCAACCATAATATCTCCAGCACAAATTTAGCATAATATGATTTCTTAAGAATCACATGACACTGCTGAAGAATAAATAACATGTAAAACATATTTTAATAGAAAATCTTTTATTTTGTATCATTTCACAGTTTTTTGATGAAACGTTTGTAAGCATGAAAGACTTCTTTTTAAAACCATTTAAAATAAAATCTTCCCAAACCCTAAGCTTTGAATTTCAGATTTACATACCTGCTGGGTCAGCAATATTTTGGGCAGACTGATCTCTCCCAGCAAAAGACAATTCACATGCTTCAGGACAGATGGAGACACTGGAGTAACCAGAAAATACAGCCCTCGTCCCATGTCCACCCCTCGCAGAACACCTTATTATTAACACAACAATTACATTTATATTCATTATTAGTTACATTGTATAAAGTCTGTCTGTAATGAAACATAAACATAAGCTTTTCAACAGACCAACTGAATCATACTAAAGGCCCTGCATACACACCTAGGCCCACGCATTGACAGATGGGCGTTTGGGAGAGGATAACAGGACCTCCTCTGCCCACAACCTTTTCACTCAGACAGCACAATCCTACTACACTGGCATTGGCCGCATAGAGGATGTTGTTGGGTGCGACTTCACAGTGTGTGACACCTATAGCTACTGATGAGTGTGGGACCTGAAAGAAAACAACAAGAAAAAAAGTCAACGGCCGCATCCAAAGAAGCATACCTTCCTACTAGTATATAGTATGTTAAAAACAGTATCCAAGCAGAGTAGTAGAGCTGCACGATATTGAAAAAACAACAACATTGCAATATTTTGTTTTTCTGTGAAACATGCGATATGAATTTAATTTCATATGAAACATTACTCTATTTGGAAATAATTCATGATTTTACACTGATTGGGATGATTTTGTAGGGGAGCGAGCTTCTGCCTAAAATGTACAAAATAATAAAATAAATATAGAAAAAATAATTAAAGATGAAAACAAGCAGGCAAATAAAACTTTTTTTTTGGTTTTGGTACATTATTGATGTACAGAAATTGACTAATCAAATAAAAAGAATAACAATGTATAGTCTTCATTGTATACACAACTAATGTTTATTAAAGCCTAACTTTAATCTCTTGTATCCAATGGTTTAAATTCACTTGAAATGGCTTGAACTCCTGCAATGTTACCATTCCAGATTCACACATTGCGATAACAATGCTAAAACTATATATTGTGCAGCTTTACAAAGCAGTATGTACAAATTCATAGTATTCAAAAAACAGTAAGCGAGGATTACCAAGATTACCTATTATTTCTGATGAGATTCTGAAGCACGCATGTGATGGATGCTACACTATCCCATGATGCCATGCAAGAGTATTCATGAATGACAGAATGGTAGCTTAATAATGACTAATGGGGATATGAGGTACATCATAGTCCCATTCATACAACATTCATACAATATGAAAAATGCTTTTCTAATGGCCATGAAGTAAATTCACATTCAAATGTTGTGGCTACTCAAGTAATAGATGATTTTGGACGCAGCAAAAAAGTCTTTTGAAGTCAGTTAAAAAAATGTAAAATACAAATAACAAAACAAAGAATGACATGAACAATAAAACTCGAACACTACATGAAATTTAAAAAAATAGTGAGTGAGTCGACCTTTCAATCTATCCAAATTTGACCAATCAGTAGGATACACTCAAAAAACAGCAAGCGATGTATTGTGTGTCATACATAAAAATGGCATGCAGAAAAACAAATGTAATACAAATAAAATTAAATCAATTATTTCATGAATATACAAAGACTGCACTGTATATCATTTTAGAATCAATATCACAATGTAATCATTTACAATAGTCACATCGCAGGATTAGTAATGTTGATTCTGTTAAAATAGACCCTTTGCATGTATTTTTGAGGCCTGTGGCTGTATGAAGACTTTGAAAGCATTCAGGCATAAGAAATTGTACTATTAGTAACTTTAATAATTACTCATTTTATTGAATTACTTTTATTATCATAATTCAATTACTGTACCTGAATACTATTAGACTTGGAAAATAATTAAACCCTGCTTATTTCAATTGCAACTTTTCTTTACTATATTTATCTATGCTTTTATTTTGTTCTAAAATGATCAATTCTTTCCAAAATAGAGATATTCAAGTCATCTGGTGAAACTGTATTAATATCATAATATACAGTTAAAGTCAGAATTATTAAACCCCCTGAAATTTTCCACCGCCGTTTATTGTTTCCCCAATTTCTGTTTAATGGAGAGAAGATTTTTTTCAACACATTTTTAAACATGATAGTTTTAATAACTGATTTATTTTATCTTTGCCATGATGACAGTAAATAATATTTGACTAGATATTATTCATGACACTTCTATACAGCTTAAAGTCATATTTAAAGGCTTAACTATGTTAATTAGGTGAACTAGGCAGGATAGGGCAATTAGGCAAGTTGTTTTATCATAATGGTGTGTTTTGTAGACCAATCGAAAAAAAATATATCTTAATGAGGCTAATAATTTAGAACTTTATATATTTTTTTAAAAAATATATAAAAACTGCTTTTATTCTTGCCAAAATAAAACAAATAAGACTTTGTCCAGAAGAAACAATATTATCAGACATACTGTGAAAATGTCCTTACTCTGTTTAACATAATTTGGGAAATAGAAATAAAAAACCAAAGGGGGGCTAATAATTCTGACTTTAACTGTAAATGATAGAATAACAAAATATTGCAATGTTAAATTTTTCCAATATCACGCAGCCCTAGACTACATGCATTCACATCATATAAATGTAGATGTATGATATTGTACAGGGTTCCCACTCTTTCATAAAAAAATCAGAACAGCGACTTTCTAAAGCGCCAATAATTTTAAATCAAGCAACTTTGTAACTCAGACCACCAGCATATGTAGTGTCATGGAAATCCCTACTTAACATTTCACTTACATTTCATATTTACATTAAAAATAACAGAGTAATTATAATGTTTTTTGTTAATCTTCCAAAGCATTTTAGACTGTTTTAATGTTTAAGATAACTTTATTAAAATGAGCAGAATTTAATACTAGTATTCCTCTGAAATACTTATAAAATAAGCATTATTTGTCAAAGCTCTTGTACAAGATCTAAATGTAAAACTTTTAGATTAAGAATTAAAATTTTTCCCTGTTCTGTTTTTGAATGCCGCACAGAATTGATGAAGTGACTGCAAAAACAAAAAATACTTTGAAAATCCTTTGAAATTTAATTTAAGCACTTTCAAGGGCCTATGTTTGTTTATAAGCAGTTTCCAGGCCTTAATGGAATATGTCTGAAATTACTTTCAAGAAGCACGAGAACCCTGTATATAAATTATGTAAAACACACACACAAAAAAATCTCAAAACTTGTTATGCATTTATTACTTATAAATAAATGAACCTGATATGGTATGAAGCAGTGTAGAGGCCGGATGGGGCCTGGATCTGAGGACTGCAGCTTGCTGATATAGCTGAGGAGAGCCAGGTCTCGCAGCTCATTACTGCGCTGAAAACGCCTAGGAGCAATGCAGAACAGGAAATTACTATCATCTGCAAAACACTACCCACAAGTACGGTGAAAATCTGAACTACAAATTCACTATAAACTCATTAGAGTCACAGTTCAAAATCTAAAATCTGCATCAGGATGGCTTACATTTCACCAGATACCCCAGCACCCTCAAACTCTGACTGAACGCTGAGAAACACATGTGATCGGCTGGGGGAGTGACTGTCCTCAGTCAAGGCAGGGGTTGTTGGAGGGTGAGTCTGCCAGCCGTGGGCACTTCTGATGAACTCTGAGGTGAGCAGCTGACATTGTGGCGCTGTCCCATAACTCAGCTGAACCACGTGAGTGACTGAAAACAGACGGACGAGGTCCACCAGTATCTGAAAGCCATGACCTGTAAAAGAAACACAGAAAATTACAAAAAATTAAGTATTTATTAAAAATAGTCTTCAATTTTTGTTTTATTCTGTAAGATAATAATGAAAAGGGTGCCATGTTTATATAAATGTTTCAAATTCCAAATGTTATTCGGACCAATTTTAATTTTCTGAACAAAACAAAAACAATATTTTTATTTAAATTGAAAGAAATTTGAAAGAAGTTATTTATGACATTTATATAATAAATATCTGTGTATATATAATACAGTAGATTAAATATATTTACTAGGGCTACCAGTTGCAAAAAAATATATAAACAATAAAAAAGACTCCATTTAATCATTTAGCATTTAATCATTTAGCATATCATGTTAAGAAAAATCTAACAAAAGATCTGAAAGTCCTGCATGGGTGTTCCTTCAGGAAATCAACCATTTGCCTGTATTGCGTTTATTTTTTATCTTTTATATTCATCATTTATTCATTAAATAATTTATTTAAATCATACATTTCAAACATTTATATTTAAGTCACTCCAGGATTTTGTCCAATGGTTCTTAAAAAAATAAATATATAATTTTAACTAGGGATGTAACGGTATCAGAATTTCATGGTACGGTAATACCTCGGTATGAATGTCACGGTACGGTATTTATTGAATCATTTACAGGAAAAAAAAAAAACTTATGAAAATACTCCAAAAAAGTGCCAAAAGTGTCAATGACATACAAATTAGCCATCTATCTGTAAGCTTTGAAACAGAAACTTCAATTTTAATAACAAAAAAATATTAAACCATGTAAAAAAATTGTTTCAATTTAGTATTGTTGAAAACTCATCACATTCCACATTTAATCACTCACTCACTTAGATAGAAATGGGTTTTAAGGAAAATTATCATAAAAATATAATCTGGTAAAAGCTGGTATCTCTGGGTATTTACAATGTCCCCTGCAACAGAAAAAAACCCCTCTCATTTGGGACTGAGGTTTCTGGGACAGAGAGATATGACTTGGCCCAGGTTGACAGCAGTGGGTAACATTGTGCATTGTCTTTCCCCCACTTGAGAGGACAAGCCATGAATGAGATAGAGGTCTCATGTCTGTATCAATCTGAACAGTGTCCTGTGTCACACCCTCCGTCCCGCCCTTCAGTAGGCGCGCGACAACACCGCTCTTGAGTATGCGCGCTCAACCCCCCGTCCCCGCTTTACAGTACACGCGCGACAACACAGCTGATCAGAACGCGCGCAACAACACCGCTATTCAGTACGCGCGCGACAACACAGCTGATCAGAACGCGCGCGACAACACAGCTGATCAGAACGCGCGCGACAACACAGCTGATCAGAACGCGCGCGACAACACCGCTATTCAGTACGCGTGCGGCAACAACACCCGCTTCAGGTTCGATCATTTCCAGCTCTTTTTGATGCCCGCTTCTAGCAGCACACTCCATTTCCGAATTACTGTATCTGTAGCGACAACAGACCGCAAAGGATGATGGCAAGCCTGGGCTGATGGGAATTGTAGTTTTCGCTACCTCCCGTTCGCTTCATTCGCCTGAGCAAATTTTCTCAGAAGACCTATAGTTTTACCGAGTCATGCGATTACAGTAATATCGAACGAAAATTAATATTGCGGTATGACGGTATTTACAATACCGTTACATCCCTAATTTTAACCTTAGACTTAAACCAAATAATGCATTACATTTGGAGAAAAGCCATCACAAAATAAGTACTTTTAGCCTACAAATATATATAAAAAAGTCTCTGCAAAGCCTTAGACATGAATTATATATCTATAATAATTTATTAGTTAGGGTGGCGGAAGGGTATTCGCTGTGCAAAACATATGCTTGATAAGTTGACGGTTCATTTCACTGTGGCGACCCCTGATTAATAAAGAGACTAAGCCAAAAAGAAAATGAATTTATTAGTTAATAATTTGATTATTAATCAAATATAATTATTTGTAAGTTTTATATTTTATTATTACTATTTTTCATGTATTGCTTTGTTTATTTTCCTTCCCACCTTATTATAATCGTATGACTAAATGATTAAGATTATTCAATTATTCAATGACTAAGATTATTCAATAAACTCTGCTCATCTTTTTTTCTATCATCATTACTGTATCTCCTGCTTCTGCACTTCACATTCAAATCCTTGGCTGACAGAAGGCTGCTAATTCAGTTTCAGGTAGTATGTTTACGAGCTTATTAACAGATTTTGGGTATTCAGCAGCTCTGTTGGCTGGTTATTTGGATACTAATAAAAACTGATATTTTCTGACAGGATCTGGCATCTGGGGTTGGACCTTATTTATCTGGTGGTCTGTGATCTTACATATTACAAATTTGTCAAAATTTCTGCTAGTCAAATCAACAGTCTAATTTTATAGTGTTTCACGTGCAATATTTAGTCATTGCTGACCTCTGATCCAGCCCATAGTATTGATGATAACAGGACTCTCTCCACTGACGTTGCGCCAGAGGGATTTGAGGGACTCCAGATATCGATCGATGTCAGACTGACAATCTGCCTGACCGTAATACACCATGTGCTCTGGGTCACGCAGGTGTGTGAAAGGAGGCCCTGAAACAGAACGACACCAATCAAAATTCATTTGTTTGGGTGTGTAAAAACACGAGTGGATTTACATAGAAATAACAGAGAAGATGGTATATGATACATACCAAGCAGTGGTTCTGTAACTGTGCACAAGGAAAGACATCCAGGAGGGGTGAACTCAGTCTGGCCCAAATCACACTCCAAATACTCCACACTCGCAGTACTACACATGGAAGAAAACAAACATCGCTTTTAAAAATAGGAAGAAGTTTATACACAAAACCTGTATTGCAGACTCAAAAACAAGATTATGTTCAATTCATTGTCTAATTGTTAAACTGAATCACTTGAACTCACTGATTTAGCAGGCTGTTGATTAGGTGCCGATTAAAGGTGGACTTGCCAGAAGATTTGCCTCCACACACAAGAATTATGGGACAACGGTCGAATTCCCCTAGGGAACGATAGAAAAAAAAACAACAACCAAAAGACAAATTAATTACATAGCTTTAGACAGAACACATTCATCACATGCTTTATCACTGATGATGATGACGATGATAATAACAACAATAATAATAATAATAATAATAATAATAATAAATGTTTGTTTGTTTTGTTCCCACCGGTTAAATGTTCCTAAAAATCAATAAAAACTAAGCATATAAAAAAAGTAAAATAATAATGCAGTTCTGTAATCATTTAAGTAAGGATACTGACACAGTTGTAAGAAATTTTTTTTATTTGAATTAGTTGGGATATACAGTTGAAGGCAAAATTATTAGGCCTATAATTTAATATATAATTTTTGTAATTAAAAAAGTGAATTGATATTTCTTAGCCAAATTTTTTTTAAATAATGTGTCAAAAATAACGTTTGAAAAATCTAAAATTCAAATGTAGAATTAAAAAATGTTAATAATGTGTAATGAGAAAAATAAAAATAAAAAAGTGTTATGCAAACAAAAAGAGCAGTATAGAAAATTTGCAAGTATTTTATTGCAGTTCTAAATTATTTAACATAAATTATTTATGGCTGACATGCAAAACACCACTTAATCTATTTATTTTTTGCCTTGTTGTACCCATGACGTTAGAAACAGACGTTTTCTTTTAGCATCATAACTTGATGTTGCTGTCTCTTCGGTGTACTGGTTGTTACCAAGTTACGGGAAAAATCTCGCACACTGGCCCCGGGCCATCGGGCAGTGCATATTGTTGAGCCCTGTCAATATTATTTTATCCCAATTGGCTGCAGAACAAACCACTGTTTCAATGACTTGCCTATATAACCTGACTTGCCTATTTAACCAAGTTAAGGCTTAATTGTGCTTAAAAGCAGGAATGTAGCAAAATAACTAATAAACTAATACTGTATGTACTGTCACCATGGCAAAGACAAAATAAATGTATTATAATTTAGTTATTAGAAACTGGTTATATTAGAAATCTTAAAAATATTATGTTAAAATGTGACAGAAAATCTTCTCTACATTAAACATACCTTGGGAATTTTTTTTTAAAGATTTAATTTTTCACAGGAGCTTAATAATTTTGCCTACGTCTGTATATTTAGTACAGCAATGTTGTTTTTATTTAATAAAATTTATTTTATTATTATTTAATAAGATTTATTTTTAATTATACATTCGTTTCCATTCCAATTTATTTCCTAAAGTTTTGTCCACAAAAGCCTTCAAATCTTAATAAAACTGTAAATTATTTACCCTCAAGTCATTCCAAATCAGTGTGACAGTCTGATAAAGAACTAAAAAAAGAAGATAATTTTAAAAATGCCCAAAGAGCTTTGGTTAACATAAAAGAAAACTATTTTTGCTGATAACTTTTTTATTTTTATTTTATTTTTTATTTTACAAATACATGCATGTTTGGTAAGGATATAAAAAAAAGTCAATTAGTTTTTTTTTTTTGGATTAACTACCTCTCAATTTTATTTTACATTATTTACCTGCCCAGGCACTGAGCAAACTGCTTATAGTTTCTTTGTAGCTGCGTGACATGACCAGACCCTGTGCACAAGGCCCACGCAGAGCCGTTACACCCACAGCGGACAGGACAGGGCTATAGATGGCAGCCTGAGACTTCAACTCCTTCTGCAGGACGAATAAACAAACACAAATATATCCATGTTGCTATGCCAGGGTGTTCAAACAAACAACGTCAAAGGCAACAGTCAGTGTTTACATTCTTCTGAAGAGTCAAACTACAAATGCCTTTTTACAGCCGCCTCTGCACATAAAACCTCATCATTCTAACATTGAAACAGACACATCAGTGACTAAAATGTCAGAGTGTAATATCTGAAATAGCACTATATTTACCGAGTTGAGGCCGAATAGCTCAGTGAGTTCAGAAAAGCTGGAGAGAAAGCGAGTGAGTGGTGTGTCCAGAGACTCCAGAAGCACCACACAGGAATCCGAATCCACCTCATTCATCAGCTTTTTACTCGGCTCTACAAAAAGAAAAGACAAAAAGAGAGAAAAATTGCAGCTGATCTTTGGAAAGCAGGTGCAGAAAAAAATCTGTGCAGAAACATTTTTTTCATGGACTGTTTTGATATTTTAGCTTTTCATAAAGAATGCCTTTATGACAAGATTTTTCTGAGATAATGGGGGATAAAATATCCCCTCAGTTAAAGCCTAGGACTCTAAAGTATTTTGATAAAATTATTGTAAACAATTCATAATTTCCTATTTTCAACTTGGCTTTATCCATCATTTACATTTGCACTCAAGAAATGCATTAAAAACTGTGTTTTTTTAGGACAGAGTAACTAACGTAACTTAATGTATGTATTTATGTAACTATTAATATTTGTTAGTATTATTATTCATTTATTAGCATATATTTTTTTATTTGTTTACATTTTTATATGTTCATTTCATTTAAAAAAATGTATTAAACAATTTAATTTGTTAATTTAGGGATGTTTATTTTAGATTTAGGTAAAATTAAATTTAAATTAAAGTAAACTAAACAATTTGTGTGCTTGCATTTCTATTTTGGTATTTTCTTTTATCAATTTTATTTGTTAATTTATGTCTGTTTATTTTAGAATGAAAGTAAACTAAAGCCATTTCAATTGAAAAAAAATTCTAGACAGAATTCATGTTTTATTTTGAAAAAAAAAAAAAACACCCAATCAACAAATCATTATTATTATTAAATAATTGTAAAATTTTAACCTGGAATATTTTGCCTTAAAATCAGATTTGAGAGAAAGAAAGTCATTAAGATTATAAGTGAAAGTGCTACCTGTTGTGAAATATTTGCGAACAATGGCTTTTGCTTCCAGCTGGCCCTCTTTCTTGTTCTTGCTGGAGGACTGGTTGTTTCCTAAGGCCGTGATAGTGAGCGGGCAGTGGGTCGGTGGTGAAAACACAGGGTAAGGCTGTTGACCCTCCTCTATGGTGAAGCCCAGCACTTCTACATGACCATAGAGGCAAGTGAGCAGGCACTTCCCACGAAAACACAAGACCTGCAGAGACAAAACTAGCATAAACTACTGGTAAACCAACCAAAACATACAAATTGGCTGACAGTGCCAATGTGTTCTCATTTAATTTCATCAATGGTTTGATGACAACCTCGAATACAGTACCATTTACTTATATTGGCAACCATGGTTAAAATGAAGACAGACAACTGTGAAAAAGAATTACTTTAGATTGTACTTTTGGAGCCTTTCTGATCTCAACTAACATCTGCAGTTCTCTGTTCGTGATTTATAGGAGTTTTTTTGTGATAAGACTTCTAGGCTGACTCGTAACACCTTGCTGTGCATGTGGAAATGGGAATTTGATCTCAGAGCTTTTGCTGTCTTTGTTATAGCAACTAATAGGGCTGCACGATGTTGGAAAATATATTGGGATATTTAATTTTTTTGCAATAAATATTGTGATATGAAAACAGTTTTACAATATAGTTCTAATAGCACTATTTGACCGTTTTCTGTGGAGTCTAATGGTATTCAGGTACAAAAAACAGAAAAATCACAATGCAAAAAAAGTTTCTCTTTGTCTTGTTTCTAGTCCAAATTTCTACAAATTCTTAAAGTAAAAATATTGTTTTGTTTTTTAATTGTAAATTAGTTGATTAAGTTTTTTCTTTAAAACAAGTGAAATTACCTGTTAGTGGTCTAAGTAAAATAGACCTCACTTTGAAATGTAGATATTTGAACTAGAAACAAGACATTAATTCAAAGTGAGAAAATCGTTGGTTGTTTTTGCATAAATTACATATAAATACAGTAATTAATACTATTCTGTAGCTCCTGGTCAAGTATAATCCAGACTCAATATTGCATATTTTGTAAAGTGACGATTGCAGATGTGAACATTGATGCTGAAACCATATATATTGAGCAGCCCTAACCAATAACCATTTTATAAAGCTCATCATCATTTAGCCATAAATCACAGCTCTGTTCTTAGGTTTTAGTAATTATGATGAATGACAGAGCGTTTTAGACTGTGCATTACCTTAGTTTTTTACCCCTGTAAAACAGGACATCGTGGTTCAACATGTTACTGCTCCTGATCAGACAGGTGTACTAAAAATGTAAATTACCAATGGAGATATACTCCAAAACTGAATGGGTGCCAATAATTGACATCCACACATCCATAAAGATGTGTTTTTGTTATTATAATATACATATAAAACTATGCTGTTTTTTCATTGAGGAATTTTTTTTTTATTATATCAAAAGGTTACAGAGGGTGTCAATATTAGTGGAGGGCACAGTATTATTGCATTAGGTGAAGAATTTATGAACATCCAATTGTTAAGTTGTGACAAGACAATATAAACTTCATAACAATATATAACAACTACATAACTCCCTAAAATACTGTTTCCAGGTCCAAGCCGCTACTCATCTGAATTAAGAAAATATTGGTTTATGACCACTTTTTCCCTTTTTAGTCATAGCACAGATTAAAAAGTGAGAATTTTATTTAAAATCATGGTGTACACAACAAACTCTGGACTTGCAGCATTACAGACACCAATATTTTAACAACTTATAAAAAATTAGTCATTTTCTAGCTATCAGATATAGGGCATTAAAAATATATATAAATAAATAAATAATAATAATAATAAATATATATGTGGATTGGACCTGGAAACTGCTTTGCATGACGTCACACTTAACAAGCGAATTATAATGGCCATTCTTGTGTGGATATACATAAAAACACAACTAAAAATTCAAAATTTAGACATTCTGGTATTCGAGTACTGTAAACCTACCTGACTTTGTTTCATGACTAACACTGCACGGTTCTTGGTATGATCAAGGTGGGCATGGAATTGAAGCCCATCCTCCGCCTGGTCTGAGTCAGGTAATGTTGAAGTCTCCATGCCGTTCTGAAGAACACTGTTGGCATATTCACTCCATTCTTGTGAGTCCACTGATCTGCTGCTGTCATCCAGTTCTGTGCCTCCATTTGTGTGGACATGAGCAAAAGTCACAGAAGTGGGTTTAACTTTATCCTCGTCTGCACAGTTGTTATCAGAGAGAAGAGTCACAGGCTTCGCATACAACTTCTTCAACCGTTTTATTGCTGGTTTCTCCTTTTTGGCTATCTCTTGTTCCAACTTTGCAGTTCCTGAGCTGGTATTAAGGAGCGTTGAGTCCAGGCTGCGCACTTTTTTGTTCCACTTATTCTTGCCATGTTGTTTAGATGCATTTCGCTGCCTCTGTTGGGACCGAGAATGAACCTTGTGTACTTTCATTGTCATCCGCTGACCCCCAACGAGACTATAAACGACATAAATCCAGAGCTAGGAAACACCTGTGAACAAATGAGTAGTTATGACAGAATTACTTGAAGTTAGGTATGGGACGATAACTGTTTCAAGGTATAGCGCGGTTTGTAAAAGCCAAAGTTTTAAAACCACCAACATTTTTTGCTATACGTTCAGATTTTTTATTTACTTTTTTTTTTAAGGACAATGGTATCTGCAGCAGAAAACATCTGTCTTTTGGAAACTAATGAAGACAGCAGATGTCATTAATTCATTTGAATTATTTAGCCTGACATGTTTACTGTTCCAAAATATTTTAAGTGTTTCTCAAAACAAAATATATTGGGATCAAATGTGTTTTTATGCAGACATTGAAAAGAATATATTTAGAGCAGTAATCAAAATACTGTAAAACTGATATTTTTATCTAATCTTATCATACGGTCAGAATCTTAAACTGCCCCATGCCTACTTGAAGTTAATAAAAAATGTAGAATTGCAGAATAAAAGCTAAAACATATCCGTTACCCTGATGAAGGCAGTTCATTGGCGAAACGCATAGGTTTTTTTTTAAGGATTAGCCATCTCAATAAAGGCTTTTAATGTTGTTTTCCACATTTTTCGCGTGCCTTGGACTGATTTATGATGTTTATTCTGATAAATACCTTACCCAAAGAGCACCAACACATTAGTTAAGCTACCCCTGCTCACTTTTAAGAGATAAAAGTTTTTGACATAGTTTAATCACTCATTCTTTTCTTATTCCCATGATGCCAGAATCAGTATATTTTATTTTATTTAACTTACTTATATTCAGCTTAAACTGCAACTTTAAGGCTAGGTTAATTAGCTTAACTACACAAGTCATTAGACAGCAGTGGTTTGTTCAGAAGCCAAATAAGTTATTTCTAAAGGGGTGTAATTTATTTGACCTTAACATTATTTTGAATTATTTTTCCAGCCAAACTAAATGACGTTTCTTCATATGAAAGATAACGTTAGACGGATTGATAGATGATCTAACGTTAACTTATAACGTTGGACGGATGGATGGATGGATAGACATCAGTATGTTGGTCAAGTTTAACAAACGTGTATTGTTTTATGTCTGTTCTTTATTCAGTTAGTGATACATGTTGTAAGTTAACCACCACAGTAATTATTCTTGACTTAACATTAACAGTTAGAAATCACCAGTAAGATCACCTATTGTTAGAATATGAAACTGAAAGCTACTGTCGTGGTTGTTGTTGTTGCTAAACGTGTCCGCACTAACCTGTTTAAAGTGAGAATCCGCTGTAGCCGATGATAAACCAGACTTGAGAACAAACAAAGACGTAAAACACGTAATATAAGAGTTTCAGTTAAGCTGCTGTAGTTTCTGTGTAAGTGCCACTCTCCATGTGAACAGATATCACGCTGCACGATGCTGTTGGAGATCCTCTTCACTAATCGAGACCTAGTTATTTATTTTGATCAGCTTTAATACTGCATTATCACTTTCTGATGCATATGTGAGACGAAGCATAAATATGTTAAAGATACTCTGTGGCTAACGAGAACAATTTCGTGCAGCGATGTGCGCTCACAGCCGTCTACTGGACAACAATAGATTTACCGGAGTTTAAGCGAGAAATGATTCTATACTACCACTCTAATTAAAACGTCATAATAAAAAAACTTGACCCTAAATTTTAAAGTGTTTATGAAATTGACTAATTTGTGTACATGTTGACTATATGAGCTAAACTATTCCACTTATTCACGTTTGAAAAAATACGAACCTAGTGTAATCTGTGAATGGCCAACCACCTCCAACAATATCGAAACGTCACTTCCCGTTTCTGTTTCAACATGGCTTCTTGTTGTTTAGCCCAAATTAAGCATTTGATGCAGTATAATTTAACTCTTACTCAGTAAATTACACTACGCGTGTATGTGGATTTTCGAGGTATAACTGAAATATGGGAGCAACTTTCTAATTTACGGTAAAGGTGAGTAATACAGAGTTGATTGTGAGCGAGTGCTTTAGGGAGCGTCATTAAAATGCGGACATCGAGGTTAACGTTTAGGTGATACACATTACATTAATCCAATAGTCGCTAATCGTGGCTTTCTAAAACATTAATGAGCACAGGTTGGATGATTATGTGTAGGATTATTCTGTGTAATTTTTCTGTGTAAACCAGATTTCGCAAAAAGCAGCTATGCTTGTAGTAAAAATGCAGAATGTTATGATTTGTGAAGTATTTAAAGTTGCATGAGCTCTAATTAGTTTACACACATTTTTACTTAACAAAACAATGTATTACATTTTATATGCATAGTTGTTTTTAAATAATATTGAACTTTAACATATTATTTTGGTGTATTTTTGTATAATTGTATTTATAATTCAACAATAAAACAACTAATTTGAATGTATTATATATAATATACTATTTAATATGTTATATATAATTTTTATTTTATATTTATTATTTAATAAAAATATCAAATACACAGTAATTTTTTATATGATAAATGTGGGTGTGGCGAGGCAGTGGCGCAGTAGGTAGTGCTGTAGCCTCACAGCAAGAAGGTCGCTGGTTCGAACCTCGGCTCAGTTGGCGTTTCTGTGTGGAGTTTGTGGGTTTCCTCCAGTTGCTCCGGTTTTCCCTACAGTCCAAAGACATGAGGTACAGGTGAATTGAGTAGGCTAAATTGTCTGTAGTGTATGAGTGTGTGTGTATGTTTCCCAGAGATAGGAAGGGCATCCGCTGCTGGATAAGTTGGCGGTTCATTCCGCTGTGGTGACCCTGGATTAATAAAGGGACTAAATGAATACATTAATATGTGGGTATTATATATATATATATATATATATATATATATATATATATATATATATATATATATATATAATATTATATTTATGTTATACACAGGTATACATAAAAACAACACTACACAAAATAATTTTGTTACATAGAATTAAAAACTGTATATATAATTTATATCGTGTACACTTTTATTTTTCTATGTGTATGTATACACACACACACACACACACACACACACACACACATATATATATATATATATATATATATATATATATATATATATATATATATATATATATATATATATATATAATTCTAAGTAACAAAATTGTAACAAATATATAAGAAAATGTTTATTTATATTTACATATAAAATATATGTTTTTTCTAAACATAATAGTTTTATTAACTGATTTATTTTATCTTTGCCATGATGACAATAAAACATATTAGATATTTTTCAAGACACTTCTATACAGTTTAAAGTGACATTTAAAGGCTTAACTAGGTTAATTAGGTTAAATAGGCAGGTTAGGGTAATTAGGTAAGCTATTGGATAACAATGGTTTGTTCTGTTTATAGTCGAAACAATTTTGTTTTTAAAATGGCTTTTAAAAAAATTAAAAACTGCTTTTATTCTAGCAAAGCAAAGACTTTCTCCAGAAGAAAAAAATATTATCAGACATACTGTGAAAATTTCCTTGCTCTGTTAAACATAATATGGGAAATAATAATTTAATAATTCTGATTTTAACTGTATGTACATAATAAAAATACACAGTACACACACATATATTATGTCAATACAAACTTTTATTTTGGATGCGATTAATCACAATTAATTTTTGTCCAGCACTGATTAATACATGTTTTAGTTTATTTTATTTATCTTATAAAATATATCTATACAGAAAAAAACAAAGAACAATATTCAGTAGACACAATTGCAGTAGAATAGTACTATTTTATGATTTCGATGAGTTGTAGTTCTATAATTTCTATAATATTACTTACAAACATATTTTCATTAAATATAAGAAAAAGTCAAGATGGTCCTTTTATTGTATCACACAGTCCTTTTATTTCTTTCACAAGGGCTTTATAATTATAAGCATGATTTATTATTATTGTAAATATCAGTATATGTTTTACGCAGCGGATGCCCTTGCAGCCAATAGTATCTGGATGCAGCCTTTATGATGCAATGCAAGCTGAGATTGCATCACTCAGTGATGGGATGTCAGACACAATGCTCTCAATGGATTGAGTGACGTTACTGTGACAGGTAGGGTTAGGGGTGGGGTTAGGTGAGCGCAATAAAAAGCATTTGATGCAGATCAGATTGCACTGCACCCAGTCTGCATCCAGACTCCGCTCCTTCCTGCAACCCATCTCTGGAAAACATCCATACACACTAATTCACACTCATACACTACAGACAATTTAGCCTACCTAATTCACCTGTACCACATGTCTTTGGACTGTGGGGGAATCTCCACAGTCCCAGGAGCACCTAGAGGAAACCCACGCAAATGTGGAGAGAACATGCAAACTCCACACAGAAATGCCAACTGACCCAGCTGAGGCTTAAACCAGCGCCCTTCTTGCTGTGAGGCGACAGCTCTACCTACTGCACCACCGCGTCGCCCTTCATTTAAAAAAATATTTACAATTCAAATAAAAATGTGCAGAATTATTCTGTCCTAATTCATGAATCAAACTAGTGAACAATGTTATTTTAATTAAATATTAAGGAATTGTCTAAACTTGCAATATGAAAACATAATGGTTAGAACTAAAGTATTTATTTTAATTCTAATTTAAACATAGCCTTTTAAACATCAGTTAACAAATGTGTAATTGAATTGAAATAAAATCACTATTGAAATCAGCTTGTCGTCTGCTTGTCTAGATGGAGAAACTTGCAGAAGGCTCCTCTCATGCTCAGCGGGTGCTGTCTTTGCTCAACAAGCAGAGAGCTTTTGGCCATTTCTGTGATGCCATGCTGTGCACAGCGAGCGGACAGGTGCATCTGGCCCATCGCAATGTCCTGGCCTGCTTCAGCCAGTTGTTCCAGGAACCCACCTCAAAAACACCATCTATAAAGTTTGACCTCCCTTTAGAGTGTCCCGATGATGGACTCGAGCTACTGCTGAATTTCTTCTACACTGGTGATCTCCAGCTAGACGACAGCAATCTGGAAAAAGTCCAAAATGCAGCCAGCGGATTATCGGTGCCTGTTTTTCTTATACCCTGCCAGGGTATAAAAACTCCTGACCTGAATGAAGGTGATCCATCAAAACCACTGCTTTCAGAGCCTCAGCCTGATCAGACTCCGAATAAAAAGACTAGATCTGGACAGAGGACCAAAAATAAAGCTGATGCATTTAAGTTGAGTACAGCAAGCGATGATGAGCCTCCTGCATTAAAGTCTACTACTGTCACACGTTCTGGAAGACGTGTAAAAGGGCCCAGTCGACTGGTTGGTGAAAGTCAAATTTCTGTTGTTACCAGACTAGGAGTGGGAAGGAGAAAAGCATCATTTGTAGAAGACAAAGAGCAGGAGACTGGAGCTACTGAAGATGGAGATCATCCCAGACATGAGGATGCAAGTGAGACTACCCAGACTACTGAGGTACTATATGTAGGTTGTCTGCAAGGTCTTAAAGAGTCTTAAAATGTCTTAAATTTCAAAAACTAAATTTTAGACCTTAAAAAGCCTTACATTCACAATAATATCATCTTGTAGGTTTTAAATCATTTTCAACAGGTCTACGTTTTAAAAGTTGTTGAAGTAAAGTTACACAATCTGGCCAACACCCATCCAATCAATATTTTTAAAAAATATATACAAATACACATGTTGGATGTTTATTTCATAACAGCTGTTAGTCATTTTACAGCAAGTTTCTTAAATTAAATTCCCTAATCAGGAAAAGAAAACTAAAAACTATTACACAATTCCTTATGATAATTATAGCAATATATCCCTTTACATAATCTTCCATTTACACAAAAACTATTTACAGAAGAAAGTGTGAGTGGACATAATATTTCTAAATAGACATAGAACTTAAGGTTTTGTAACAGAAACGCATTAGGTTGAATGGGAGTCATACTTAATTCATTTGGACCATAAGCAAACAAATATATATATATATATATATATATATATATATATATATTGATTATTCATGTAGTTTTCTTCATAATAAATATACATTTAACAATGTTAAACATAAAAAAAGAAACATTATGTTGAAAAAAAGTCTATACATCCAGAGTTTTCCTTTTTTGACACATTAAGATATGTGGTTAAGAAATAACTACATTTTTGTTTGTTTTTTTCCAATTCCAATTGTCCAACTGGGCCACACACACACACACACACACACACACACACACACACACACACACACACACACACACACAATAAAACATCTCAAATTTCTTTTGGATCAGAAATGGCCGTTTCACTCTCTGTTTTCAGGTGGATATATCTGTTGATGACCAAAATGATGACGATGATGATGTTGAGGATGCTGCCAATAATGACGATGACAGTGACAGAGGTGGAAGTGTGGATATTATTATTGAGGGAACTGATGAAGAGTATGTGCCTCATGATTCACCTTGCTCAAGCACAAAGACTCCACGGGGAAAACGAAAAGAGAAAAGTAGCAATAAAAAGAATGGGGAAGGAACGTCAAAAGACAGCAAGAAAGGGGCCGTCCAGTGTCCAACGTGTCACAAAACGTTTCTCAGCAAATATTACCTC